AAGATTCAGCTGAGTGCTCGAGATCATTTTCAAAAGATCTTTAATGACCATTCCAAGCTTAAGCAGCAACTAGAATCTGAGAAAACAGAGCTAGATGTCCGTGTGCACGAGTTAGAGAAGCGTGAAGCAAATAATGAAACTGAAAGAAAAAAACTCCAAGAGGAGATTGAAAAGGTATAATTTATTACTCCGTATTCTACAAGAAATCTGATATATATTTTATTAGATAGATTGCGTTATAGTGCCTCTTAGCAGTAGTTCACGATTTCTGCATAAGACCTTGATCTATTGATTTGTTCTCTGTTTAGAATGCTGTGAAAAACGACTCACTTCAACATGCATCAATTGTGCAACAAAAGGCTGATGAGAATGTGCTGAAGTTGGCTGAAGAGCAGAAGGTTGGTGACTGTTCTGACTTTTGAGTGCTGTATGACAGTGTTACTTTGTAAATTTATGATTTGTGACACAACATCGTCTTAATTTTGAAACCAAATTCTTTGTCTTTATAACAGAAACAAAAGGAGGATCTACACAAGCGGATTTTGCAACTTCAAAATCAGCTGGAGGCGAAGCAAGCACTTGAGCTGGAAATTGAGCAACTAAGAGGGAAATTAAATGTGATGAAGCACGTGGGTGATGAAGGAGACATGGAGGTAATACAAAAAGTAGACTCGATGCTCAAAGATTTGCGAGAAAAAGAAGAAAACCTAGAGGAGGTGGAGTCTTTGAATCAAACTCTTGTTGTGACTGAACGCATGAGCAATGAGGAGCTCCAGGATGCTCGTAAGGAATTGATAAATGTATGCAATAAGAGCTAAAATTTAGATTCTGCACTGGTCACATTTTCTTGTGTCTTGCCTATCCTTTTCAAACTCCCTAATCCTAACACTGCTTACTTGAATACAAGGGTTTGAAAGAGATGTCAAATCGTGGCTTTATTGGTGTCAAAAGAATGGGAGAACTAGATAGTGCAGTTTTCCAGGAAGCTTGCAAGAGAAAATATCCTGAAGACATAGCTGAAGACAAAGCTGCAGAGTTCTGTTCTTTGTGGGATGAATATCTCCGGGATCCTGAATGGCATCCTTTTAAGGTGGTTCGGGTTAATGGTGAGCATAAGGTATGTGTTTAATAATTTTGTCTTCATGTTATATATTATAAATTTATAGCTTCACTGGTGTGATTCTTGGTCTTCTCATCATGATTTATACTATAGCTATGTATCATCATCATCTGCATAAAGCTTGCATTGCTGTCTTCATAGGAGGAGTTAAAGATTTCTCTTTTGCATTTTTTAAGCTGTGTTTTTGGATTCTCTGTGTCCAAGCGGTTGCTATCTTGCTGAAATTATTAGCTGTGGGTGATATTATTCTCTTTGCCTCTCAAAAGTTGAAACTTCTTTTTTTGTGGGAATGGATTAATTGGTGGAGATGCTTTGCATATATTATTAAAAATTTAAGATTTTATTCATTTTTTAAGCTGTGTTGTTTTTGGATTCTCTGTGTCCAAGCGGTTGCTGTCTTGCTGAAATTATTAGCTGTGGGTGATATTATTCTCTTTGCCTCTCAAAAGTTGAAACTTTTTTTTTTTTTTTTTTTTTTTTTTTTTTTTTTTTTTTTTGGGTGGGAATGGATTAATTGGTGGAGATGCTTTGCATATATTATTTAAAATTTAAAATTTTATTTTTAAGTATAAATGGATAAAGTTTGCTTTATTTTTTATTCACAGAAGTCAGCTTATTAAATACTGAATTATCCTTTTCACAGGAAGTAATAGATGTTACTGATGAGAAGCTGATAGATCTGAAGAGAGAGTGGGGTGATGATGTTTACGATGCTGTTACAACTGCATTGAAGGAAATTAATGAGTACAACCCAAGTGGTCGATACATTATTACTGAATTATGGAATAACAAAGAAGGCCGGAAAGCTACATTACAGGAAGGAGTATCATATATATTGAACAAATGGAAGGATTACAAGAGGTTTAGGGGTTGAACTCCAGGTTAGTATATGCAACTCTTGCATTTGTTCACGGAATTTAGGTCAAATGGATTGAAATTTTCAAGTAATATTCCTCCATACTGAATTGTTTGTCCTCTTTAAAATAGTGATTCACACAATACCTTGGACAACAAATTTACCTCTCTCTCTCTCTCTCTCTCTCTCTCTCTCCAGATTGAACCGCGATCTTCGTGTTTAAGGAACTTTTCTTAATGAGATTGAACCGCGAGTAGTTTTTTCTCCATTCCACAATTATGTTTAACATATTTTCATTTAAGATGTCCCTCAAATTACATTTTTTTTTTAAAGTTTATTTCCCCCCCTCTAAAGTATGGCCCCACTCCCAATTGTATCTCTATACTTTGCACTCAATTATGTGCAAAAACACATGTTAATTGTGAGGTGGAGGCAGTATCACTCTAATAATCTAATTAATTTTTCCAACTGACATCCAAATCTTTTAATCGTGGTATGCCTTTTCTATGGGTTCTCAGGTGCTGTTTATTGTAGTTTTCATTGCTTTCTGAGAATAATTATCCCCACAAGTGTTCTGTTATGCTTATGATCTAATGCCTCAACTGTCAAATTTGGTGCAGAAACTTATTTCATGGTGTATATCTTGTTGGACTGATGCAGTTATGAAAATATGAAATTGGTATGGAATGGTTACCAATCTTTGAAATCTCTCTTGAGGATTATATTTGTGAACGCCTATTGTATGATAAACTGATCTAAAAACAATTATGCTGATTCGATGCAGGGTAAAGCATGCAAAACATTGGGTTTGACAGCTTCACATGCAGGAGGCATTTCGGCAAGCAGAAATGTTTTCCATTAATAATATGTATTGAAACAACAATTTTTTTTATCCCCCTCACCCCTGTAAATCAGGCACCTGTTTCATTCTTTGTTGGTGGCCTGGAATACAGACATTTATTATGGTGCAGTTAGCCCAGAAAAATTGCTCTAAGGGCATGGAACTTTAGACCATATCATTTCCTGTTTGGACCTTAATGATTTGTCTGTACCGGAAAACTGGCTATTAGTCTGTTCGATGATAAAATTTGCAATGTGATGCTGTCTTATTTCATCCTAATGCATTTATGTCTTGGTTAAAAATCTCATGATGCATTTAGCCGAAATGCTTGTTTGTTAGATAGAGCAAGTGAGCAACCGCATGGCCCTTCATAAGCTGTTCAATCTGGAGCCACTTTATGGCTGTTAAGGTCTTGCTCGGTTTGTTTCAGTTTAGACCCCATTACCCTGTTCCTCGTTCTCTTGTGCTCTCCTTTGGTAAGGGACCTATATGTCTGACATTAATCTTTACATGCGCCTCCAAAACCACCATGAATGTTCGATTACAAGATTAGGTTTGTAACCTGAATGTCTAAGATTGCTTTTGTTCCCTTTCTCCCTCAGGTCCGAAGCAGCTGAACTACCAACCAAATGAAACATATGCTAAGCCATTCCATATATACTGTTTCTTAGTACAATTTCATACACATATTGGTCTGCCCTTATGCTACGAGTTTTCTTCAACACCTATTCCCTTCGTCAAGAAATGATTATATACAAGTAGTATATAAGTGCAAAGATTAGTCCAAGACCATTAAACACTAAATGGGAAGGATAAAAAAAAATTAGCATTAATTAACGAGTGAGATCAAGTAGCAGATGGTTTAGTTGGCCTGGTCTTAGTGGTGGTGATGGAGTCTAGGTTGGTTCGAGTGATCGTGGAGGGTTCAATACCAGCAGAGCACATTGTGTTGCTGGACTCTAGAGGCTGTGGTGGTGATTCGAGTATACGAAATTACGAAGTATTACATAATTTTTTTTTAACGCAAGGATAATGTGTAGTAAAAAAAAAAAGAAAAGAAAAAAACCAAAAATATCAGTAAATAAGAGCTCCAATTTCACAAATGGCATCTAATTTGTTTAAGTGTGATTACACTTCACACACATATTGTCCTCTGAATTTTATCTCTCTAACAGAACTACAGAAGAAAGAACAAACCTTGTTTTTGGCACTTGGAATTGCTATTATCTCAATTCTTTTGTATAATTAATTTTTAATTCTATGCTAATTGTTCCTTTTTTTTTAACAGCCACTCAGAAGTTAATTATTCTTTCCAATTTGGTCAGTGTACCCATTTTTCAGCTCTAATCTTAATTTTGTTAATTGCTACTATTATTTTCATTACTGATCATGTCAAAATTAACTCAAATTTGCAAGTTGATCATATTCAAATTTAAATTAGTTGGCTAATGTTAATGTGTAAATTTAAATTTTCTACTATTATTTTCATTATGTTTGTTCATTGAATTAAAACTGTGTAAAGTCCTAATATGATAGAATGTGTATTTGTTTTGTACAAATTTGATCACCTAATGTAGTTTCTAGGGCAACTGTAGCAATTTTTTGGTGGTTTTAGTTAGTCACTAAGTCCTAAATGAATGAAAGAAAAAGTACACTGTCAATTGTTTCAGTAATGGTAGATTGTTTAATGTTGTATTGACACTGTCAAAATGGTTGCCTGGTGGGTTGCAAGTTAATTCATGTTTTTTTTTTTCCTTCACCTGGTCTGGTGTCCATTCTTTGATATGTAACCTTGATTGAACCCGCGCCAAAGCTTTTTATTGAGGTGTTTGGGGGGGGGGGGGGGTGTTTCTTGTTCTTGTACTCTTGTTTATGTGTTACTATAGTATAAAGAAATCCGCTATTTGCTCATATTGCGCCATTTGAAATAGTATCAGGAAATCATAGTTGCAGCTGTGAGTATGACCAATTAACCAATTTGCTGAAACATGTAATATTGCTTATGGTATCTGTTGTTCTTGCTACTTTATTCGCCGTCTGTTTGGCCTGCATCTTAACAGTTTTCTTTCAAAACTTTAATTGTATCATTACACAGGAGATTATGTGCTGCGTAGTTAGCCTATAATATATGAAATTGCTGTCCTGTTAACAAGATTTAATTAGTAGTTCTGGCAGTATTCACTATGGCAGATGACAACAATCGAGAGTTAAACAGTCTGCGTCGAACTGTTGTGAGACTTGCCAATGAGTTAGATTACAAGAACCATCTATTGATGGAGAAGGAAGGTCTAAGCCTTGAAAGATTTGCTACAATGAGCTCTTTAATTGAAGAGAAGGATAGGCTTCTTGGTGAGAGATCTGCTGTAATCGGCTCATTGATGGCACAAAAACATAGGCTACACGAAATTTTCATCGAAGGTGATCAAATTTAGCAATTAGCAAAACTAATGTATAAGCCCTCTATTCTGAAAGATGAATGACATGTGTAGTGATCATGTACTATGCAGTATGTACAAAAATGTTTGTCCAAATCTTTGACCGATGAGAAATCTTGGTTCAGTTTTCCCAAAAGATTTGTATTTTCATATAGCAAGCTGTTAAGTGTTAATAATGAAAAAGGAAAACTGTCTCTTAAGTAATAATGGTTCTTCTGTCACAAACAATTTGTTGGTAGAACTGCAGCTTATATTCAGCCTTTTGCTAGATAGATTCTTACTAACCCCCCAACTTCTTCCCTTTCTTTATAAAGGGGTTTTCCTAGCCTGAAGATTATCTCTTTGTAACGTCTTTCCATCTTTGAATGTCCAGAGATGCGAAAATGTAAACATTTGAAGCAAGAAATGAAGAAAATCAGACATGAATTAGAAGTTCAGCAGCAACAATTGGATACTAGAACCATGGAACAGGAGGAACTTCTGACCGTAAAAGGAAAGGGACTCAGGATTGTGACTACAAAATCTACAAATGCTAATACTTGTTTCAAATCTCCAGAGTTCAATCTGACTGTCCCAGAAAATCGATTAAATGAGTCCTTTGACAAGCATGACAACCTGCAAAATAATCTGGAGAAGGTAAGCGCCTATGAAATTTTACAAGTATTTGATGAGGAAAATGTGGTACTGAAAGCTGTACTGCAGCCTGCAGGATATTGATTATCCCTGGAGTTGCTTCTTTGTTATAGGTAGATAGTTGATAGTACTGCTACTTTCTTCACTGAGGTGTTCACATATGTTTTGTTCATAGTAGTATAATTTACCAGTTTACTACCTTGTTTTCGTGAATTTTATTTCTCTTCTCCACCTTCAATTGTGATAATCATCTCTTCCGTCCTATCTTATTACTTTTGTATAGAAATGTTTTTCTCTGGTATGATGATGACATGGATGATTTAGCCTAATTGAAAGTGTATATTTCTCAGTTGCAACACTTGCAGTCACAGAATGAATATCTGAAAGCTCAGCTAGAGTTTTTGAGGAAAGAACTTAACGAGAAAGGGGAAGCAATGAATCAACTTAAAAGCCTTAATCAAACTCTTACATCGAATAAGTCTTCAAGGAACGAAGAGCTGAAAGCTGCAAGAACGGAAGCCATCAAAGTATAGTTACTTTTCATTCTTCTACCAACCTCATCCTTTTATGTTTATCTCCCAGCATCGATCCCTTCTATTTTCTTTGTAAAAACATACATATTTCATTGATCCATATTAAGATATGAGAAGGGTGTTCCATATATGCACTTCCGCTTTCTCAATATTTTTTTTTATCTAAATAAGAAGTGGATTATCATTAATTTTGACTATTTTTTTTTTTTTTTTTTTTGTTGTTGTTGTTGTTGTTGTTTGTGATCTCAAACAGTGTTTCCTAACTATGGAAAGCAATGGAACAAAAATTGGGATCAAGAGAGTGGGGAAGATTGATCCACAACCTTTCCGAGATGTATGTTCTAAGAAATTTTGCAGCTTAAGCTGGGAGGAAAAATTCAATGAATTATATTATTTATGGCAAGAAAATGTTAATGATTCTAGCTGGAATCCCTTCAAGAAAGACATCATCAGTGGGGAATTGAGTGTAAGTCTGTAAAAATCTCTCAGTTCCTAATTGTGACTTTGTGCTTGCTTAGAAGCTTATATTATAGTTATGTCTACAGTCCTGTTTCGTAAGAATAAAGGTAGAAAACCAATGTCAGTAAGTGATTATTTGCGTAAAAGTCTACCAACCATATGATTCTTATTTGGAAGATGCAGGAGGTTGCTGATGAAAATGACAAGAAACTCGTAGAGTTAAGAGAAGAATGGGGTGAAGAAGCATACAAAGCCGTTGTTAATGCACTAGTGAATTTTAGAACATACAATCCCAATATGAAGTCTTCTATGCATGAACTTTGGAACTTTGAAGAGGGAAGAAGGGCTGATTTGAAAGAATTAATTCAGTACATAATCCAGTGCTGGGAAGTTCAAAGAAAAAAAGACAATGAACAGTCTGAAGCAATTGGTGAGCTGATGGCAGAGAAAGAGAGACTACTTGGACAATTGGCAAGTATCAATATTCTAATGAAAGAGAAGGACAAGCTTCTCAAAGAAAAATATGCAGCAGTTGAAAAATCGATAGCACAGGACATGGAGAAGGATAAACTACTGGACAAAATGTCTGCGACTATCAGCAAATTGAATGCAGAGAACCAAATATTACTTGAATCTTATAATGCAGGTTTGTTTTTTTTGAGAATATGATGCTGATGCCATTTAGATTAGTCATGAAGTTAATTAACACTAATGACTAAACAAAACCAAGTTTTTGGTCATTTTAGCCTCTAAAAGTTGTCATCTCATCCTTTTTTTTTATGGTGGCATTACTATGTTTTGCTAGACCATATCACCATAAGGATTTGGCAGTCTACCTTGGACCACATCACAGTTCCATCTTTATTTTTTTCTTTTTGGTTTGGTTTAGAGTGGAGGGAAGATGGGAGGAATGACTTGTTTTTATTTATTTGTTTTAATTTTTTTTAATCCGTCTGACATTCTTTAATTTTTTGTAGAAAAGAGTAAGACCCAATGCATCGTGGAACCAACTGAAAAGTTTAAGCATGAGTTGCAAGATCAAGAGGAGCTGGCAAAGCAAACAGAGGAGCGCAGGGAGACAAAACGTCTCAATTGTGGGAGTATTGAAAGCTTAAAAGTCAAGGAGGAAAGTACTGCTTGGTATCTGGATTATTTGGTAGATAAAGGTGGACCTGCAAAAAAGTTAAAGGACTCCAAAGTTCATAATTCCAAAGGGCAAATTTTCTCAGCATCAGAAAATAAAATGGTAAATATTCTTACCTTGTATTATGCTTGCATGGGAAATCTTTACGCCTACCACCTTATGAGAAGCCTAAGTTACTCTTTACGAACCAGAGACATTACAATCTGATGTTTAAGGCTTGTGCTTTATGAGTGTGTTTGTATTTTGGTCCTTCTGAAAAAATCTTTCTACTTGTCAGAAAGAGGTTTCCTACATCATAACCTTCTTATATCTGTCTTGTAGCCTGGTGAATTCCTCTCTGGTTGATGGTGCTGTTTATGCCTATAAATCTTGCTTATTCGTCATGACTTTGTGTTGTTTAGACTTTGAAGGTCTAAGTGCTTATTTAATTTAACTTCATAGAATATTTGTTTGTATGGACGAGTAATGCTACTCTAGTTTAGGATATAGCATGTTAGTTTGGCAGCCCATTTCTTCGTATGTAGGTCAACCAGTTACAATTCTGTCATTATCCTTGATACTTGAGGGCTTAAAGGCTAGGTCATGATCTTATCGTTCTGTCGGACTTCACAAAATTTTCACCAGTTAATAATGCCACTGGTTTTCATGGCAGCATCTTAGATTAGTGGCATCTTCCACTATTATTCTTTATTCTGGGTTTTGTTGCCACTCTGATGCCGAAACCTGATTAGTTTTCAGCACAATCATCTCCCTTGCACTTTTTTCACAACCTATAATTTTCTGTTTATGATTATGAAAGTTGAAGGCTATTAAGTCGATTGAAAATTTTGTTATGTTTCTTGTATGATTGCCTCATGCATGAAATTTTTTGTATGAATGAAGTTGCAAGATCAAAACATGGGAGAATCATTAAAGCTTCCTAAAGCTGAGCCTGACATGTTCGAGGAATCCTTGGAGGGGAGGTGGAATGTATTAGGATTTTTACGATCAAGCACAGACTCATATCTTCTGCCCTCCAAAGATGCTGTTTCCTCTCCATCACACTCAAACGCCCTGGAAAGAAGTAAGTTTTTATTTCTTACTTGCTGCAAGAGCTTGAACAGAGAAAAGTAAATCCTTGTTAGGTTGGAAATTGTTGTCTTACATGGATACGAATGAAGATTTTCAGGTAGCTTCTGTGAAAAAAGAAGATGAGATATAGTTTAATGAAGAGAAGGGCATGTGGCTTGTATGTAATACAGATGTTCAAGTGCCGTGAGTAAAGTTTAAGATTAAGCCAGTTCAAGAAAGTCGGTGGAAGTTGTGACAAGATCAATATCATGCAACAATCTATTGCTGGAATAATCTGTGTAAGATTTAAGAGCTTACAGTGATTACAGTACCAGCAGAAATATAATTCTAAAACTATTGCAGAACTTTGAAACTCAAGCTGTTTATGATGTTTTATTGAGTAAATGTGTAAAACCTTGGTCAGTTTTGTTAACTGTGTTATATCTTTTTCATGTCTTTCTAGTTGCAAGTTTGCAACCTGCTAATTATTTCAAAATTCTGTTAACAAATTTTTCTTTTTCTGCAATGCTCTCCCTTTAGCTCTTTACTTCTCGTCTTTTATGGTCATTCAATTTAACATCCATATTACCTTCAAAGTTCAAAATTACAAGATCATGTAAATATACGTGCTACAGAACTCAGTATAGAGTTTTTATGGACTTACAGTTACTGTAAAGTCATATAGAGCTACTTCAATTCTGGTACAGATTGAATATTCATAGGACAAGAAATTCGAGTTTGTTATTTTCAGTTAGTCAAAAATTCAAGTTTGTTATTTTACTGTTGTTTCTTGTCAATCTGTTGCTTCACTTTCTTTTAACAAGTAAAATTTTTGATCTGTATACTTTACTGCCCATTTAGGCTCTTACAGAAAACTCAATCATCTAAAGAATTTAAAGACTGATAAAGCTCAAGATTTTGCAATTAAGCTCGAAGTTAATAAATTTTCATCATAAAATCCCCCTCAAAACCAGATGCTGTCCTTACTCCTGTGAACACTAGCATTCAACTGTCAAGAGTTTGATCAATCTCTTTCCATATTGGGATGTTTTCAGCTAAATATATGCTATTTTCTTCACTTATAAATATATATATTTCATCTTTCATAGAATTGATGGGAACGAGAGAAATTCAAGAATACAGATGGGAAGGGGTGTTTTCAAATAAACATGTACTAATTTTCTCACTAATAAATATTGATTAATATCTCAGCATCGCCTTTACAATTGAAACATTGAAAGTATAAATTTAACCAGACTATAAAAATGTCTTGTCACACATGTAGCATTGAGATAGTTCAGTCCAGTAGCATGTAAAAGGGCTTGTATGTTGTATCAGACACACCATCAAGACTTTTACTTATCTCTTGTACTACTAGTACAACAGGCCTTTATTGTACTATATGCTTTTCTCCTTGTACCACTTTACTTAACGCATGAGAATAAATGAATTTTAGTAATTCCTACCTGTAGCATTTCATATTAAGTTATACAGGTAACATTTATAAGTCTGGTTCCTCTGTTTCATTTTATGATTTGAAAGGCGCGATTACCTTCTTTCTGCTGAATCATTTTCAATAGCTTAGGAGTATGAAGTTGATGAATTTTAATTTTCTATTAATTCACCTAACCATTGACATCTTTTATGTTATCGAACTATTTCACTGAATATGCATTCCATATATGTGTTCAGTATTCAGGATAAGGATGATTTTAAGTCAGGACTGAAGTTCTGATCTCTTACATTACTTAAGTATATCATTTAATTTGCAGCTGCGGCTCATTTTTTACACAAGGTTTACAAATGGAAATCTACACTCAAGAAGATGAGATTAAAAAATTGCGGAATCTTGTGGTAAAACTTGTCAGAGAGCTAGATTACAAGAACTTCAAGTTGATGACATTGGAAGAAAATCAGATGAAAGAGAAAGAAAAGTTGCTTGTAGAGAGGTCTGCAGCAATTAGTGTATTGGTGTCTGAGAATGTAGACAAAGATCTACTGCTTGATGAGAAGTCTGCGCGCATCATTGCTTTAACAGAAGAGAAAGAACAAATGCTTTGTGAGTCCACTGAAAAAATGAACACATTGAAGGAAGAGACTGAGAGGCTAATTAATGAGAAATCTTCAGTCATCAACACTCTGAAGGCGCAAATTACTGACAAAGACCGGCTGCTTGTGGAGAAAGAATGGCTTCTTGATGAGAGATTAACATGTATGAACATATTAATCATGGAAAAAGAACGACTTGATAACGAGAAATCTGCAGTGATCAGAACTATGATGACACAGAACGCTGAAAAGGAGACACTCATTGAGGAGAAATCTGCATTCATTAACAAATTAATGGCAGAGAAGGAACAAGGGTTTGAAGCTTATCTTAAAGGTAATAAATTTACTTGTATAATTTTATTCCATGATGCTAAAAGAAAAAGGTTTAACAACTATCTTTAATATATAATTGACATGTTTCTTTTAACTGATCACTTTCTTATAATTCAATTTAATTTCAACATATGTATGATTGGGTGAACATCATCTGCATAGTATTATGATCCTTCTTAGATCACACATTTGATGAAGCGAGTTTCCTTCATTAAGGCCACATAAGTTAATAAGCACCAATTTTGGCTTCTTAAGTTTACAAAAACTTCTGAATGTCATTTGGTTTTCTCTACTCCACTCTGACACTGCTTTCTTCATGACCTGATGGTCATTTTCAACACTAGTTTGCAATGTGTTGAATTCGTATTCATAAATCATGTTCGTAAGTATTTTGCAGAATTGAAAAAGACTGACAACATGAAGCTTGAAAATGAGAAGCTTCGATGTGATTTGGATTCTCAAAAGGAGAAATTAGAAAGGTTGATCAAGGAGCAGAATGAATTGGTGCAAGAAGCTAAGAACACTACTGAAATAAACGTTGTTGAATGCTGTAGTGAGCCTCCTAGGAGTAGACTGAACTTTCAACCGCAGGAGCTTGAGGTTTCGAAGGTCCAAATCGTGGAAGAGATGAACTGTTCTACTGTAGGAGAGGCGGTAAGATTTTGAATGCCTCATCTTATGTTTGGTTTATGCACTATCATATATATGGTTGTAATATTAAGATGTCACAATTTTGGCTTTTTAAAATTTATTTTAGGAGCTGCAAATGCAAAATCTGGAAGATTTAAGAACTAAGATTCATAATTTAAGAAAAGAAATGGAGGAAAAAGTGGAGCTTCTGGAGAACTTGGAAATGGACAATCAAATTCTAATGGTGAAAGAGCTAAGGAGTAACCGTGAGCTACAAGTTGCTCGCAAAGCTGCTATTGAAGTACTATTTTTGATCGATTTAGATGTTAATCGCGGTCTTATTGAGCTTGTGCTTTTTATCTATACGTGTTGTATGACCTTCCACCTCAATTTGCAGGGTTTAATATCCATGCAGAGACCTAGGATGAACATTGGGATCAAACGAATGGGAGAGGTCAATCTCAAGCCATTTAGAGATGCTTGTTCTAAAAGGTTTCACAGTGGAAATTGGGACGCGAAATTTGGACACTGGGAAGAAATGTCTGTGGAGTTGTGTTCGTCGTGGCAAAAGGATATAAGTGATCCTGAGTGGCAACCTTTCAAGCAGGAGACCATAAATGGAAAACTAACTGTATGTCATATAATTTCCATATTTTTACATGAAATTGTCAGAATGAAGTATCCTTATTTTTCTCAACACTACTTTTCCAAACTATGCAGGAGGTGATTGATGAAAATGATGAAAAATTGGAAGTTTTGAAGGAAGAATGGGGCGAGGAGGCCTACAAAGCGGTAGATGAGGCATTGGTTGAAGTGAATGAATACAATGCAAGTGGGCGTTACCCAGTACCCGAGCTTTGGAACTACAAAGAGAACAGGAAGGCCACTCTAGAAGAGGTAATTCAGTATGTTATCAATCAATGGAAGATTAACAAGAAAAAGAAGAAAATTGCACTGTGATTTCTATTATATATCGTTTGACATATTTAGATATGTGAAGTTATGATCTAGAACTATCTGAAGATTAAGGTCTACAAAAGCTCATAAGATGTTTTCTTGTGCATTTTTTACTCAGTTGATGTACACAGTTCCTAGACTTTGCCAAATTTTGGTACTAATGCTTGCAACTTGCAAGCAGTGGCCGGTCAGGCCGTATTCATTAATGTTGTTGCATAATGGGCTTATGGGTATGTAACTTGTAGGTCAGGACTATGTAACCCCAAAGCACATTGCCTTGACGCAAAGCCCGGTCCAAACAGCCTACAATCGTATTTACTGACGTCTATCCATCTTAGCGTAAACTAATATGGGTCTGTTTTGTTCACTTTATTTTCATTTATTTAGAGTCTAACAAGATAAGTTTTTTTTTTAAAAAAAAAAAAACAAAACTGTTTAGATAAATTCAAATTACTCCGTAATTGAGTACTAGAAAAAATTAGTTTTGAATAAGGTTTATCAAGTACAAATTATAATTAAAACCTTTTCTTTTTACGGAGAAATAAATTAAGATAAGTTCAGTTAAGTTCTGATAATTGAAAATCGGTGAATACAACACCCTCATAATACCATATATACGGAGTATAATAATTTGCACAACCTATACAGTCGATTAGGGTTTAAATAAAGAGCTTGCAATGCAGAAGAGGGTGACAGTAGCAATGGAGAAGGACACCATTAACGAAGATCGAATCTCCGAATTACCGGAACATATAAGGCATCACATCATCTCTTACCTTTTTTCAAAAGAAGCAGCAGCAACAGCCATACTCTCGAGATCATGGAAGAACTTGTGGCTCACTCTCCCATGTTTACGTTTAGAAGAAAGTTTCTTCTCCATATTTGAGCATCAGAATCAGTCCTCTGATCATTCTGAAATAATATCTCACCAACAATTTCTCTTGAATAAAGTCGATGACATATTTACACGACGGTCCAAGTGCACCAGTAACGGCGAGATCATGATATTGGAAGAGCTTAAACTCCATATCCCAACATTGAATCTTACAAACACTACTTACAAAATCTCAGAATCGTTGGTTTGCTTAGTCAATAAACTTATTCTTCGCGCTCTCAATGAGTTCCGTGTCAAGAAGCTTAATTTTTCAATTGGTAATTGGAAAGACTATCATTATGAGAGTTTCGATGGTACAAACTTGCCTATATCATGTTTAACTTCCTGGGATCATCAAGTTATATTAACCGAGTTGAAACGAGGTGGCCTACATTGAGATGCTTGTCTTTAAAAACAGTAAACTTAAACCAACAAGTAGTTGATAGCATCACTACTAACTGCATCCTATTAGAGTCCTTAAAATTAATAGGATGCCGAGGTGAAATTGACACCCTACACGCCTCGTCTCTCATAACACTTGTCACTCTGGACATTTTTTTATGCAGTGAAAATCAAATCAAGAAGATAGAGTTAGATAACCCGAATCTTGAACGCTTTAGATTTAATGATGTTTCAGGAAGAGTTAGACCATGTGTTATCCATGATTTAGCCTCGAGCAAGGGGTTAATCAAATTAGACGTATGTGATGCTATACTAACCGATATAAGGTTACATGAGATCGATTTTGGGCACTTTCCCAAGCTAAGGAAGCTCTTTTTGGCTAGATGTTATGGATTAAAGTGTATTAAAATTTCAAACAGAGTACTAAAGGATTTGAATTTGATTTATACTTGTACTCGTTTACCGTTGGAAGAATTAAAGATAATGGATGCTCCTGCACTGCAGAAATTATCTATGAATCCTGGTAATCCAAGGGTTAAACTTCACTTGAAGTGGAACCATGATAATGATGCTTTCGAGTATGAGAACATTGTTAAGTTGTTGGGCAATTTTGTTTATTCAAAGTTCAGAGATTTATTGGATCATTTGGAAGTTCATTTTGTTGAGGTTTGTTGACTTGGCCTCTAGCTTAGCTTAATACAGTACAAATAACCAATTCTGTTTTATGTATCATAAGAAGTAACGTATTTACCATTGTTTTTTCTTGCATAGAATTTGCCACATGATGTGATTTCATACTATGTGGTTCCTCCGGGTATAAGAAAAAGAATAATGCCTCCGCTTTTGGGTGGGTGCAAGGACTTGAAACTCAACTATGTCGCGAATTTTTGGAAGAAAGATGACAAATTTGAAGACCTTCTTGATGGTCTGTTTTGGCTATTTTCGCACCCAAACACAGTCATTATTGAGTTGCTTCAGCAAAGGAAAAACATAGTGGACTCGAAGCAGCTTAAGGTATTAGTATTGTTCGTTAGCTAATATAATGCATTACTTTCTTTCTTCCCTTTTGCTTATACTTTATATGTCATGTTCATCCTTTGAATCCTTCATTTAGTGCGTAATTATATGCTATCATCTGTGATCAGTTTGAGTACGCGGAGGACTATGATAGACCAGAGAGGTGTGACTACTGCGAGGCCCCTCCAATTACATGTTTGCAGCATTCAAGGGAGAATTGTGACTTTTGCGTAACCCGTACACTTAGATGTTGGCGGCATAATAGCTTAGACAAAGTGCCAAGGGAGAAGTGTGACATTTGCGAAGCCCTTACACTTAGGTGTTGGCGGCATAGCTTAGACAAAGTGACGATTATAAACAAGTTAGATCAAATGAGTCCTATTTCAAGGAAACATGATGCTGAAGCTGTACATTTCTTCAAGACTGCAACAAAGTCTAGAAATGTCCAAGTTAATGTTATTTATTTATGAATGAACATGATGAAAATGAATAAATGATGTAGCTGCCAGCTTTGGATGATCATAACTGTTTATCAGTTTATAAGTTTATTAACTATTTAAAGACAGATTGTTTTGCTAATCTTATCTAAATTTTCCTAATTTAATTTGATTATATGATTATTATTTTTGTAACATAATGAGATGCATTGCTATAAGAAAGCAATATCAATACTCTTCTTCACTTCATGTTATGCGGTTAGGTACTCCCTTTGTCTTACATTACTTGCCTCACTTTGATTGGACACATTTGTTTTTATAAGGCACTCACAAATTCACAATATATATTACTCTCCTAAAATTATGTGCATTTTCAAGTGATGCGAATAAAAATAAACGGGGGAGTAATTAGTTATCTAAGGATAAAAAATTACAGAGTAGTAAATTTGGTGCGAGTAATGTGAATAACTTAGGATGAATAGAGAATTAGATTACACAAATCCCAAGGTACCAGTACAGAGGATTAATGCACAATTGTCAATTGGTCAATTGCACAGTGTGACATTATTTATCAGAAGTCACCTAAATGGAAGTGAATCTTTCAATTCAATATTTCAATTAAGCAGAGATTTCTGGTAGAGTGGTAGTGGTACTACACAAATCTGCTAATTCCTCAGATTTTTCTCTCTCCTCAATTCCTCCCAAGGTACGTGCCCAGCAATTACTTGGTTCAATTATTTCTATTTTCTTGTAATATTACAATTTATTTGGTTTATCTATTGATGAATGCTTTGTATTGTTCATCTTCAACTATGTCATCAACCCTCCATTTCCCCTAATTCGTTTGTTCTCAGTATTGGTAATGAGAAACATGAGCATGGTTTATAGTGTGAATTATCAAAGAAATCGATTCAATTTTTCAAGGGTTTTTGATTTATTCCCCTTTTTCAAAAGTTACATGCTTTCCTTATTATTACCCTCTTTTAGGAATAAAATTTCTCCAAAACCCCATTTCCCCTTTTCAAATTTCCAATTTTTACTGGTTTCTTTCACTTCAAAACTCTTCCAAAATGACATTTTTCTTTGTGTTTTCCAATTTGTCAAATTTGAAAAGCTGGTCATTTGTGACAGTACAAAGTTGACAATTAAATGGGGGCATAAGAACAATAGAACATGTTCTCAATTGGAATTTCGGGTTCTACTTGAATTTGTAAGGTTTAGTATATGATGGAATTGACATAAAAAAATAGCATCTTAATTAGATTAAGATGCAGCAGTATATAACTAAGACAAGGAGTTAATTCCTTTTATATGAAGTGTGTAACTTATGTTTGCTTGAATTTACAGATTTAAGATTTAGCGGAGAGTAATGGAGGAAAAGGGTTACCCTTGTCAAGAGGTACAGCAACTGCGTAAATTTGTTTCAAAGCTTGCAAAGGAAATTGATGTTAAAAACACGAAGTTGTTTGTCATGGAGAAGAGGAATGATAAGTTGTCGACAACCCTCAACAATATGGTTATGGAAAAACGGAAGCTGCAGCAAGATCATGCTAGAGGTACTTCACAAATTCTCACTCTATCTCTGTCGATATGTTTCATTAATGAATGATTATGAACCAATATTTTAGTTTTTACACTTAAGTGTATATTTAAGTGAACCCAAATCTAGAGGCTCAATATTGAAAGAGTTTGTCCTTGATGTATGTATGTCAGTTTCCTTGCACATTTTCTGTAGAACCTTTTAACTTATCATATTTTGTGTTCTCAACTTCAATTAGTCCTTGCCATGAAGTAGGTCTATCATGGAGTTTACTTTTTCAAGTAAATTGAAAAATATTGTCAGAGAAAAGGGTAATAAGTTCCCTTTGGATACATATGTTAAAATGTGGATTCCTCTTTTGTAAGCATTTAGACAGATACATTGAAACTAAGGATTTAGAAAAAGAATGCTATTGCACATAATCGGCTAAGGACTTTCAACTAGTTTATAGTTCATGTTTAGGATGTTAAGAGTTAAAAAAATGTCTTTAAGTTACTATTTGGTATGAGGATATTGGTATCATGACAGAATTCATTTAGTTAAGTGTAACTCTGTCAAATCTCTGTTGAACAACCAAACAACTTTCAGCTATTGCCCTTTTGGATTCTTGACCTCAAGCTGATGCCTGAAATAAGCAGTAATTATCTGCAGACTATGACACTTGATCTTTGAAATGTTGTTAGTTGGATTCTTATAAGAGTTATAGCCAAGAGCCTAGGGTATCACTAGAGCTGTCAATTCGGGTAAACGGGTCGGGTTTGGGTTGGGTAAAAGTGGGTCGGGTCAACTCGGATTAATTCCATAACCTATGCGGGTCGGGTTTGGGTTGGGTCATGCTTCAGTCGGGTCACGTCGGTTTCAAGGCCCAGTGTCGAAAAGACTTGAGATTTTAGAGAATACATCTCGGGGTCAAATAATTCTACTTAGAACCATATATGATCATTATACGTTGTCATAAATGTTCGTGGTAGACTTGATTTAATGAAATCGGTGCAAGTATAAACCAGTAAATTGGTCGTTTAAAGGCAAATTGGATGGTTACACCCACCCAATTGAACTCCAGAAGGGTATTAGAGAACATGGTAAACATTTTGGCAATTTTTATTTCTAGGCGAATAAAAGTCAAAAAATTCCAAAATGAAAGTATAAGATTTACGCTTTTTCAGAAATTTTGAAGGTTTCGAGGCACGGTGTCAAAAAGCCTTGAAATTTTAGGGGGTACATCTCGATGTCATATAATGCCGTTTGGAACATTATTTGATCTTTATTTGTTGTCATAAATGTTTGTGGTAAGCTTGATTTATGAAATCGGTGCAAGTTGTAAACCGGTAAATTGATCGTTTAAAAGGAAATTGGATGGTTACACCCATCCAATTAGACTCTCGGAGAGTATTAGGGACCATGGTAAACATTTTGGCAATTTTTATTTCCGGGCGAAAAAAAGTTGAAAAATTCCAAAATTAAAGGCTAATATCCACGTTTTTTGAGAAATTATGGAGGTTTCTAGACATGGTGTATAAAAGCATTTAAATTTTGGGAGATACATCTCGGGGTCATATAATGTCGTTAGGAACCATATATGATCATTATATGTTGTCATAAATGTTCGTGGCAGACTTGATTTAATGAAATCGGTGCAAGTTGTAATCCAGTAAATTAGCCTTTTAAAGGCAAATTGGATTGTTTCACCCACCCAATCGGACTCTCAGAGGGTATTAGAGACCATGGTAAACATTTCGCTAATTTTTATTTTCGGGCAAAAAAAATGTTAAAAAATTCAAAAATTGTAGTCTAATATCCACGTTTTTTTTTTGAGAAATTTAGGAGGTTTAGGGGCCCGATGTCGAAAAGTTTAGAAATTTTAGCGAATACATTTCGGGGTCATATAATGTCCTTTGGAACCATATATGGTCATTATTTGTTGTCTTAAATGTTCATTGTAGGCTTGAGTTAATGAAATCAGTATAAGTGTTAAATCGGTAAATTGGTCGTTTAAAGGCAAATTGGATGGTTTCACCTACCTAATTGGACTACTGGAGGGAATTACGGACTATGGTAAACATTTTGAAAATTTTCCTTTTCAAGTGAAAAATAGTCAAAAAAAAAAAAAATTAAATATTGAAGTCTTAATATCCACGCTTTTTGACATATTTTGGAGGTTTCAGAGCCCGGTGTTGAAAAGTCTTGAAATTTTAGGGAATATATCTCAGGGTCATATAATGTCATTTGGAACCATATATGATCATTTTTTGTTGTCATAAGTGTTCGTGGTAGGCTTGAATTAATGAAATCGGTGCAAGTTGTAAACCGGTATATTGGTCGTTTAAAAGGAAATTGGATGGTTACACCCATCCAATTAGACTCACGGAGGGTATTAGGGACCATGGTAAACATTTTGGCAATTATTATTTCTGGCGAAAAAAAGTCAAAAAAAAAAATTAAATGCTAATATCCACGCTTTTTGAGAAATTATGGAGGTTTTAGTGCCCGGTGTATAAAAGTTTTGATATTTTAGGTGATACATCTCAGGGTCATATAATGTCTTTTGGGACCATATATGATCATTATATGTTTTCATAAATGTTCGTGGTAGGCTTTATTTAATGAAATCGGTGCAAGTTGTAATTCGGTAAATTAGCCTTTTAAAGGCAAATTGGATGGTTTCACCCACCCAATTGGATTCCCGAACGATATTAGAGACCATGGTAAACATTTCGGCAATTTTTATTTCTGTGCGAAAAGCAGCTAAAAAATTCCAAAATTGTAGTCCACGCTTTTTTAGAAATTTTGGAGGTTTTGGGCCCGATGTCAAAAAGTTTAGAAATTTTAGACAATACATTTCAAGATTATATAATGTCGTTTGAAACCATGTATGATCATTATTTATTTTCATAAATGTTCGTTGTAGGCTCGAGTGGATGAAATCAGTACAAATTGTAAATCGGTAAATTGGTCGTTTAAAGGCAAATTGGATGGTTTTACCTACCTAATTTGACTCGCAGAGGGGTATTAGGGACCATGATAAACATTTCGGCAATTTTTTTTCAAGGCGGAAAAAAGTCAATAAATTTAATAAATTGAAGTCTAATATCCACGGTTTTTGAGAAATTTAGGAGGTTTCGGGGCCCGGTCTTGAAAAGTTTAGAAATTTCAGCGAATACATTTCAGGGTTATATAATGTCGTTTGGAACCATATATGATCATTATTTGTTGTCATAAATGTTCGTTGTAGGCTCGAGTTAATGAAATCAGTACAAGTGTTAAATCGGTAAATTGGTCTTTTAAAGGCAAATAGGATGGTTTCACCTACCTAATTGGACTCCCGGAGGGAATTAGGGACCATGGTAAACATTTCGGAAATTTTTCTTTCCTAGCGAAAAAAAGTCAAAAAAATTAAAAATTGAAGTCTGATCCACGCTTTTTGAGATATTTTGGAGGTTAAAAGGCACGGTGTTGAAAAGTCTTGAAATTTTAGGGAATATATCTCGGGCTCATATAATGTCATTTGGAACCATATATGATCATTTTTTTTTGTCATAAGTGCTCGTGGTAGGTTTGAGTTAATGAAATCGGTGCAAGTTGTAAACCGTTATATTGACCGTTTAAAAGGAAATTGGATGGTTGCACCCATCCAATTAAACTCCCGGAGAGTATTAGGGACCATGGTAAACATTTCGGCAATTTTTATTTCTGGCGAAAAAAGTCAAAAAATTCCAAAATTAAAGACTAATATCCACGTTTTTTGAGAAATTATGGAGGTGTCAGTGCCCGGTGTATAAAAGCTTTGAGATTTTAGGAGATACGTCTCGGGGTCATATAATGTCGTTTAGGACCATATATGATCATTATATGTTTTCTAAAATGTTTGTGGTATGTTTTATTTTATGAAATCGGTGCAAGTTGTAATTCGGTAAATTAGCCTTTTAAAAAGGTAAATTCGATGGTTTCACCCACCCAATTAGACTCCGGGAGGATATTAGAGAGCATGGTAAACATTTCGGCAATTTTTATATCTTTGCGAAAAGAAGTTAAAAATTCCAAAATTGTAGTCTAATATCCACACTTTTTGAGAAATTTTGGAGGTTTTGAGCCCGATGTCAAAAAGTTTAGAAATTTTAGGGAATACATTTCGGGGTTATATCATGTCGTTTGAAACCATATATGATCATTATTTGTTGTCATAAATGTTCGTTGTAGGCTCGAGGTGATGAAATCCGTACAAGTTGTAAATCGGTAAATTGACCGTTTAAAGGCAAATTGGATGGTTTTACCTACCTAATTGGACTCTGGGAGGGTATTAAGACCATGGTAAACATTTCTGCAATTTTTATTTCCGGGCGAAAAAAAGTCAATGAATTTAAAAATTGAAGTATAATATCCACGGTTTTTGAGAAATTTAGGAGGTTTCGGGGCCCGGTGTCGAAAAGTTTTTAAATTTTAGCGAATACATTTTGGGGTTATATAATGTCGTTTGGATCCGTATATGATAATTATTTGTTGTCATAAATGTTCGTTGTAAGCTTGGGTTAATTAAATCAGTACAAGTGTTAAATCAGTAAATTGGTCGTTTAAAGGCAAATTAGATCGTTTAACCTACCTAATTGGATTCCCGGAGGGAATTAGGGACCATGGTAAACATTTCGGAAATTTTTCTTTCCAAGCGAAAAAAAGTAAAAAAAATTAAAAATTGAAGTCTAATATCCAGACTTTTTGAGATATTTTGGAGGTATCAAGGCCCGGTGTTGAAAAGTCTTGAAATTTTAGGGAATATATCTCGGTGTCTTATAATGTCATTTGGAATCATATATGATCATTATTAGTTGTCATAAGTGTTCGTGGTAGGCTTGAGTTAATGAAATCGGTGCAAGTTGTAAACCGGTATATTGGCCGTTTAAAAGAAAATTGGATGGTTGCACCCATCTAATTAGACTCCCGGGGGCTATAAGGTACCATGGTAAACATTTCGGCAATTTTTATTTCTGGCGAAAAAAAGTTAAAAAATTCCAAAATTGAAGGCTAATATCCACGAGGTTTCAGTGCCCGGTGTATAAAAGTTTTGAGATTTTAAGAGATACATCTCGGGGTCATATAATGTCGTTTGGGACCATATATGATCTTTATATGTTTTCATAAATGTTCATGATAGGCTTTATTTAATGAAATCGGTGCTAGTTGTAATTCGGTAAATTAGCCTTTTAAAGGCTAATTGGATGGTTTCACCCACCCAATTGGACTCCCGGACGATATTAGAGACCATGGTAAATATTTCGGCAATTTTTATTTCTATGCGAAAAAAAGTTAAAAAAATTCCAAAATTGTATTCTAAATATCCACGCTTTTTGAGAAAATTTGGAGGTTTTGGGCCCGATGTGAAAAAGTTTAGAAATTTTAGGGAATATATTTTGGGGTTATATAATGTCGTTTGTAACCATATATGATCATTATTTGTTGTCATAAATGTTCGTTGTAGGCTCGAGTTGATTGGTAAATTGGCCGTTTAAAGGCAAATTGGATGGTTTTACCTACCTTGGACTCCCGGAGGGTATTAGGGACCATGGTAAACATTTTGGCAATTTTTTTTCCAGGCGAAAAAAAGTCAATAAATTTAAAAATTGAAGTCTAATATCCACGCTTTTTGAGAAATTTAGGAGGTTTCGGGGTCCGGTGTCGAAAAGTTTAGAAATTTTAGCCAATACATTTCGGGGTCATATAATGTCGTTTGGAACCATATATGATCATTATATGTTGTCATAAATGTTCGTTGTAGGCTTGAGTTAATGAAATCAGTACAAGTGTTAAATTGGTCGTTTAAAGGCAAATTAGATGGTTTCACCTACCTAATTGGACTCCCGGAGGGAATTAGGGAACATGGTAAACATTTCGGAAATTTTTCTTTCCTAGCGAAAAAAAGTCAAAAAAGTTAAAAATTGAAGTCTAATATAGGGATGGCAATTCTAAATGGATATCCGCAAATCCGATCCATCCGAAATAAATAAATGGACGAAAATCCGCATTAAATGGATGAAGGGCGGGTGACGGATGAAGCGGGTGACGGATCGGGTCGGATTCGGGTGGGGCTCCGTTTCATCCGTCACCCGATCCGTCATCCGTTTATCACCCGATCCGTAGTCCATCCGTATATATATGAAAAAAATTCCCAATTTTCTTATATACTAGTATACTACACTATGTATGTACACGGTATATTTCTAAAAAATCTTTAATTTTATTTTAAAAATATAAAATCTCCCTCAATTCTCAATTATGTACCGAATAAGTTCATGATTTTGTTAAAAAAAAAAAGTAAGTTCATGATTATTATTGTATTATTATTATTATTATTGCTATAGTTTGGAATAAGAATTTAATTAATGGTTTATTACTTTTTAAGTTTAAAATTGGTTTTTTTTTTTGTTTTTTTAATAATAACGTATTAGATTTTATAGTTAGAGTAGGATTATAATTATCACCCGTTAAGCATCCGATCCACCCGTTTCATCCGCGGATGACGGATGGATCGGATGCGGGTGATGGGTTTTGCGGGTGACGGGTGGAGCGGATGGTTAATTCGGGTGGATGCGGGTGGAGCTCCGGGTCGGGTCATCTTCAGGTTAGTTCATGCTCGGGTTTGGGTCTCACATAGTCGGGTCAACTCGGGTCTAGGGTTGGTTTCAGGTCGGGTTTGGGTCACCATTTTTTCGGGTTCAGATGATTCGGTAAATAATCGGGTTTGAGTCAGTATTTCAGGTCGGGTCAACTTTTGACAGCTCTAGGTATCACCAATTGAAGTCTGATAATTCTCCTGTGATAAAAATATCTTAAATGAACTTATTGGTGCTTACTGAAGAATTTTTCTTGAACCATATCGACTTTGTGTGCTCAAACATATCGACTTTATGTGCTCAAACTTGATACCCTGTTGGTTTTTACTTGAAGTGATGAGCAAGCAAGTTTTGAGTCTTTTGATTTTGCTCTGGCCTCTGGGTTGCTTATATGCTTTATCATCTCCTTAAACATATGTGCACATTGATCATCTTAGTGCATATAACCTGAATTTTACATGTCCATCTGACTGTCATCCTCCAATAAAACATTCATTTATGCCTGGCTTACTACTTTACATTTATCGGTCAGTATTAAGTAATGTATTTCTCTTTAGCCAGACTGTTCGTTCTGTTTCATGCTTTTGCAATCAAATTGATGAATCTGTTTCAGTTGTTGCTTTCAGAAATTGAAAGATTGCAATCTGTGATATTAAATAGTGATAAAACAAAACTGGAGTTGGAATATCAAAGACAGCAAATTGAGCTGAGAGCAGAAGAAGTTGATAAACGCGAGATGCAAATAAAATCTAAGCATGAAAAGGTATTTAATCTCTTCTGTCTGTTTATTAAAAAAAAAAAAACGATGTCATCACTTCATACTACCTCCGTTTCATATTATTTGCAACGATTTGACATAAAGTAGAGAGGAAAAAATGTCTGATTGTTGCAAATAATATGTAACGGGGGTAGTAAATGCAGAACTGCAAAAGTACCTTAATCAATTATCTTGTAAAATTAGTCCCAACTCCCATCAACTGCTGGGAAAAGAACCTGCAAAAGGGAGGAATTTTCAAATTATACAACTGTTTTGGCCTATTCTAATTATATATTTATAATTTTATACAATTTTGTACATTTACTTGGGTGTACTTAAAAATTGCTAAACCCATACTCAACAAGGCAACATATTTAGAAGGTGGATGTAATTAACTATGTTCTAGAAGCTGCATAAAACATCTAAAACTTGGGTGTGGTATATCACCCAATCTGAACTGTCTTCTGTTCTAGTGGAACTTGGTTTTGATTTCATATATACTCATCTAAATTATTTCCTGTTATATAAAGAATAAATTGTAAAAATCATTATCATGTTAGTTTCCGGGAGTTAATATTCCTTTGGCTTTGTAATGATATAAAGCTGATCTTTTAAAATGATTCAAACTTCTTTCACTGTCAGCTTGATTCTTTAATGCGTGAGCTAGAAGAAGGTGGAGATGAAATGCAATGCTTAGAAACCCTTAACCAAACACTTATCAGCAAAGAGCGTATAACTAATGCAGAGCTGCAGGATGCTCGCAAAACTTTGATTCGTGTAAGATTTGTTAGACCTTGTTGCATCACCAGCTGAGATGCCAGCTTGCTTCCCATTTCAGTTTCTTGATCCTAAATCCTGCTAATTTGCATGCTCATTTATGCTGCAGACGTTCCAAGGAATTGCTGATGTTGAGGCTGATAGTATTGGAATCAAACGGATGGGGGAGGTTCAAATTAAGCCTTTTCGAGATGCCTGTCCGAAAAAATTCCCTTCTAGGGATTGGGAAATGCAAGCATCTGAGCTGTGCTCATCATGGCAACAAATCCTTGGAGATCCTAGTTGGCATCCATTTAAAAATAAAGTTGTAGATGGAAAACTGCAGGTACCTTGAATATTTCTATGCAATTTATTTACATGTTGAGAAAAGTAGATATTAAATGTGCAGATGCAGGCATGTGGAGTTGCTGGCTTCATTTCTGCTTTTATACTTTAATAGATATTGAAGACCAAGACTTGTGGTAGAGCTAGTATGAACTATTCCGTAGATAGTACTCCCTTATTTGCAATTTGCACTCTGTAATCTGTATTACACTTGTCTGCTGTCTTGTTGTGCTGCAAACTTTCATTGATTTTAATTCTGCTTTTATTGGTACCATTATCTTATCATATATTATGCAAGGAAAGCAATTACGGAGTATATAAAGTTGCTCTATGAAGGAAACACTTTAAGTTGACCTTCTTCCTTTGTGGTTGGGCCAGTTGGCTTATATCTTCCTTTAATGCAAAGGCCAGTCCCTATGTTCATCTCATTCAAAAATCGAAAAATATTAATCACGAATATCGCATTTGCTATATTAGAGAGATAAATGCCTTCATCCGGATGTTTAACTTGCCAAGAAACTGCTGTTCATATGCAATAACTATGAACCATTTTTAGCAATGTCAAAGTTGAATTGTTTATTTCTGTCCACTCAGGAAGTTGTAGATGAAAATGATAGTAAGCTGAAGGAATTGATTGATAAATGGGGTGAGGAAGCATATAAAAGCGTGGTTAATGCATTGTTGGAGCTGAATGACTACAATCCCAGTGGTAGGTTTGTCGTGTCTGAACTCTGGAACTATAAGGAGGGAAGAAAAGCTAGTCTGAAAGAAGCAATAGAGTATCTCATACAGAAATTGACAGCCAAGTCCATGAAGCGCAAAAGATAACAAGTTTCAGGGCATACTCTATTCTAAGCATTTTCTTATTCAAAGCATCATGAGGTAGTTAACATCACGTATGGCTCTGACATTTAGGATTGTAATTTGGGGAGTGACACTGCTAGATTGCAAGTTTTACCAGAGCAGCTCTTCTTGAGATCCTAGCTTACTACTACATCATGCCGTATGGGCTATTGTATGATATATGCTTTAGATATTTAGTGTAGATTATCTATTCTAATATGAATTACTTATGGCTTTTGCATTGTGTAATGCAGACATACAACACCACTGTCTGAAACTCTTAACAGGCAGAATCCTCCATTGTTAACATAGCCTAGCAAATGTTAGTGACAGCAGCTTGGTGCCTGATGCACCAAGAATAGTGTATATTGGTGTTCGGTGTTTGTATTTGCTTTCCAAGCACTTCATTACCAATAATTTTCTAATAAATAGTTGGATGCTGCTGCTACTTGTAAACTCTCGTGCCCTTGAGATCATCCAGCAATCAGCTTGGGATTCGCTTCAGCTATGAGCATAAGGTTCCCCGTATATTAGGTATTCGAGATGTGGAAGATTATACAGTTCATGTATTGAATCATGATGCAAAGGCTTGCAGAGGTACCCTATCTCCTTTGTTAACATGATTAATTCAGCTTATTCAAGTCATTGACCCTCGTCACCTTGTGTTCTTTAGATAATAATATAATACTCTGTTATCACCTTCTAAAGATAAATATTTATACTGCAGCTTGACTCGTGTAGTTTGTTAAATTGTTTTAGTACACGTTCCATAATTGCATACTGTACTACTTATATCATACTCTTGGGAGCACCGTGCTCTTTCTTCGATTGGAGCGTTCACTTGGCAGTTGACACCAATCAAGTGTCACTCATATGGCGGCATGTGATGTCACTGATGAGCATCACAAGTGACATGCCCAAGCATAATCACTACAATAAAAAGAAGACTATACTATGCCCTGATTTCAAAAAAAACAAAAAACACAAAAATAGCTATACTATGCCCTCATAAAGTTAAAACTCCCATTCAATAATTTATTTTCATTCAAATAACAAAATTTTCAGCTAATATAAAAATATTACAGAGTACTAGGACTCCATAATAAAATGGAATAGACTCCATAATAAAATGGAATAGAATGAATTGAACAATTCTTAGGTGACCAATCTAATAAGTAGACTAAAGTTGTCCAAACCATTTGATAATTGATATACAAGTATATCCTGAATTTACTCTATAGTCTATACTACTATATCCCCAAAAAAACCATGATTTTTGATAGAAAAATTCTAGTCGGATCAACTCAACACGACTTTTTTAGTATGTTTACCACCATGCTCATTTGGTCATTGATTTACCAATTCAACATAAATTGTCTACGTGCTAGTTTGATCATTAACGTTCCAGTACTAAAGATTAAAAGGGGCGTACTGCCGTACTCAGTGTACCCGTAACAGTTCTAAGTAACTAAGTACGACGTGCAGATTATATAAGAGAGCATTAACGATATTAGGCGATCGTAACATTGCATTTTAAGTGAGAGTGAGGGATAGCTCAAGTGGTTAGAGCTCCCCTCCCGGTTCCAAGAGATCTTGGGATCGATTCTCATCACCCGCCCTTGTGGCCTCTCTAATCACCAAAAAAACATTGCATTTTAAGTGTACTAGTGTAGGCGACTTACTGCACACGTCATTTGTAATTCTTTGGCATGCCATTTGAGAAAATTTTGAACTACACAATTTCAGCCTTTACTTACTACAGTATTTTTTTCTCTCTCTTTTTTCCCTAAAAAATCACTCAATTTTCTTTAGTAATAATTGTTGATAAAAATGTCGTCTTTTTAGTAATAATTTCTGGGTTTTGTATCAAAATTTGGTAGAAATGGAAGAATCATCAGCTGAAAAAATGAGCTCAGAAACAACAATAATCTCCCCTGATCATCAAACCAACCCTCTTTCCTCTACTGTCGTCTCAGGTTTTCTCTCTTTCTCATCAATTAAACTAAAGTTTAGTTTTATTTATTCCCTTTTTCATATACTTGATTAATTATTAATTCTGTTTTAGTATATTTTCTGGGTGCAATTAAAATGGTTACTCTGTGATTATTTGTACATTGGTTTTAATTATTCTTTTTAATTTGAAGAAAAGATTGTAATTATTGGTTTAATTGAGTAAAAAATTGAAATTGTGGGTCTATGTATTTTATTATGGATCAAATGTAGTTAATTTAATTATTTATGAAGTGGGTCACTTGGTCTGCAAAGGAGAATTTGTTGCTAGTAAATTATTTATTGAATTTCCCTAATTATTTTCTGGTACCTTTGGACTTGTCATTTTTCCTTATTATTACCATTATTTATTTTTTGGGTGCAACAATTAACTGAGTTTATATTTGTCTTGGCAAAATTATTACATTTTTTCTATGAAGGCTGGTCTGAAATCATAAATGTAGCTACTGTGAATGATATGATGATGCTGCATAATAATAAGATGTGTTCATATATTATGATATTGGAAGTTGGAACTTGGAAGTATGCATTAAACTTAAAGCAATAATTGTTTGCGTTTTTGATCTTTTAATGATTGATGGAATTATGAAAGCTTAGTTAGGGCTAATCTTTGTTCCGTTGTTCGGAATGTTTTTATCTAACATAGCTCGAATGCTAAAGTGGTGAAGTACATTTTATGGTTAGATTATGCAAATTATTGTCCCAATAATAGATTAATAGGTATGTGAAGTCTTAAAGGGTTCAATTTTTGGAAAATTTGTAAGGCTTGGTAAATGTAGCAGTGCCAAAGATGAAACCGAGCAACTACTCTTTCCGTCCAAAATTAATTGTCACATTGTCTCAACCCCTGGTAATAATAATGTTACAATGACATAAATTTACAAATAGATCGTTTATAATAGATGGGTTGTTTTAATCTACGATAAGTAGTGTGCTAGTGTCATATTCCAAAATCCAAACTCTAATCATAAATGATTAGTTGATTACCAATTCGTGGTGAAAAAGTTCCTTAAAGTGTGCCAATGACAGAGTACAAACCCTTTGATATTGGAAACTATTGACTTAAATTGCCTGCATCATACTATTGCTTTTTTTTGTTATGTTTCCGCTAGCGTATACTTTGTTTATGATGATGCATGTTGTTTTAACATTTTACATTTTTACTATGATGCAGAGACCATAGTTACGTCTACGTGCCTATCGATAGAGAGCCAGGACACAACATGCTCCCTGGATAAATTAATTGCAAGCTTGTGTAAGGAGGTAGAAGACAAAGATGCAAGAATAATGGAAGTAGAGCAGAAGTATAACCAAACTTGTGAATCTCTTTCCAAGTTCATCACCAGCCTCGTTAAAGAGATCGAGGACCAAGTCAAGAGGATGAAGGAATTGAAGGTGGAGAACGAGAAGAAAGATGCAGCTTGTAAATCAATTTCAAGAGCACTTGTTAGCTTCATGAATGAGGTTGATAGAAAAAACCAGCAAATTACTGACCTGAAGCACACTTGTAGTGAGATGTATAGTGATATTAGAACGCTGGTGGAGGAAAGAGCTTTATTGCACAGATTAAACATCCGAGGTTGGTATATGTTTGTAAAGATGGAACTTTGCAATAAAAAGCACATATTATCAGACTATTTTAGAATAATGCAAACTTTCTTTGTTTTTTCAGCGGAAAATGAGCTGCAGAGCATAAGTCGAAGAAACAAAAGGCTGAAATCAGAATTGATAACTGTCAAGAAAGAGCTTACTAGACAGTTGGTGCAAAGCGTGGGTGGACCTCAAAGCAATGAAGGGCAAAGTCGTTCAATGGTTAGTCCATCATTAATGCTATGTTTGGATAAGAAATTAGAAGGGAAATGGAAGGGAGGGAAATAGGAGGAAGGGGAAGGAAGGGAAAGTGGAGGAAATGATGAGCTCCATTTTCCCTCCAAATCTCTCCAATTTTGAAGGGATGGTCTTTATTAAAGGAGGAGGGAAAATGAATCTCTTTACCCCCCCCCCTCCCCTTCCCTCCCCCAACCTATTATCCAAACAAGGAAGTTTGTCTCCCTCCCTTTCCCTTCCCTTCCTTTCCTTCCATTTTTTGTTATCCAAACATAGCATAAGATATAGATACAGCGTTTTCTTCTTACAAAATTGAAATACGTAATATGTAACGTCATATGCAAAGAAATTCATATCTGAACAAGTAAATAAGTAATATGTCATGTGGACTAATTATTATACCTTCCAAATTTAGCTTTACTGTAAATCTGAACCTGCAATGAGGTTGCAATAGACTGAGCTTGCACATAATTTTGGGTCAAAGTTAACATGAACATTATTGGTTGATTAGCAAGGGACAGGTTGTTCAAATATTGATATTAATGCTCTAAAGAAAGAATTGGAGGATAAAACAGATGAAGTGCTTTACTTGCAAAACCTCAACCAAATTCTTATACTCAAGGAGCGCGAAAGCAACAATGAGCTCCTGGAGGCTCAGCAAGAACTGTTAAGTGTATGTCCTATATCTTCATGTATTTTTGTGGAAAACCAATTTAGCAAACTGTAGAAATTTATAGATCTGCATTTTCACTTTTCAGGGTCTGCATTCAATACTGAGTAATCGAACAATGCTTGGGATTAAAAGAATGGGAGAACTAGACACAAAACCATTCCTTGAAGCGTGTGCTGATAAGTTTCCAAAAGAAGAACAGGGGATTAAGTGTGCTGAAGTATGCTCAATTTGGGAAGATCATCTGAAAGATTCAAAATGGCACCCTTTCAAGCACGATATCATAAATGGGAATCTGCAGGTATTAGAGCAAATTACTGTTATAATACTTGACTAAGATTTAGTGTCGTGACAGCTGACAGGCATATAAAATCAATAGCTTAGATATGGTACTTACAATACAATCATGTTTACATTTGAAGTGTAACACTTTAACACTGTAAGACTTTGAAATTGAGACTTATCCAAAACTAAACATCTTTAGCTGCATTACAATACAGAAGCTCCCTGTATTGTAATAGCTGATGTCAGTAACTTATCTGCTGTTGAGATATTTAACATGAGACTTAGAATTCAAGTTTAGATATATGCTGTCAATGCAGAAGTATGCTAATTCGTGATAACATACTGTGATGGATCATCTCTTTGCCAAAATTTATCAACTTTATTTTTCTGGCTTATTTGCTCAATTGTTTGACCGAATGACAGGCCATCATTGATGAGAGTGATGAGAAGCTGGAAGAGTTGAGAAAAGAATGGGGTGAGAAAGCATACAAAACAGTGGCTACTGCTTTGATGGAACTGAACGAGTACAACCCCAGTGGGAGGTATCCAGTTCCGAAAATTTGGAACATCAGAGAGGAAAGGGAAGTGAGTCTGAAGGAGGTAATAGGGTACATAATCCAGCAGCTTAAAACTCACAAACGCAAACGAAGGTAAAGCTAAGCAACCAAGGGTATATCGAGTGCTTAACTTGTTATGACCTTGCTAATACACTCAGCTCTTGTAGGTAGCTAGGCTTTACGATTCATAAAACAGTAAATATAGCTAGCAACTGATGTTACTTAGCTGCTGAAATTCTGTATAGATGAAAGTTGGAAGGAAGAAATATGTAGTAATGTAGGAGTAATCTGTATGAATTTGCTTTAGCATTCAAAGTACTGAAAGTAGTAAACCTTTAGCTCTTCTCTACTGCAAAGTGCAAACCATTAGTGCTTATAATTCAATGCTCTAGTCCTGCAACAGATCACTTCGTATGATTACCAGCAGAAGAGACTCATTCTTTATTTCATGATTCATAATTTTATTAATGATAGTTGCATTTTAGCTTCATTTCAAAAAAAAAAAAAAATACGAATTTGAATCAAATATGGTTTACGTAGTATTAGTTATATAGATGGATAGATTGTACCATACTAATATAAACAAAACAAAACAGCATTCCGATGGTCTCAAATCTCAATTAATTTTAGTTGTCTCAAGTCTTAATTTGAATCAAGTTGTGTTTAGATGGTACCAAATTAATACTTCGTATAACAAAGAATTATATTGGTACTAAGTTACCAACAAAGATGACTATTTGACGTTAAGATGGTACCATCTAAGCACAATTTAATATCAATAACTCAATAAGCATTACTCCGTATTATACTTAACGAGAATAATCACTCTGTATTTCGTAAATAAGTTATTATAGGTTGAGAAATGCTCTCGACAAGACGATTATGAGAGTCGCCATTGTGACTTGTGAGTGGGATTGTCACTTGTGTCAAAAAAAAAAAAAAAAAAAAAAAAAAAAAAAAAAAAAAAAAATGGCCCAAACCAAATTACAACAGCCCATTGAAAAACACACACAACCTCTCCAATAATCCTTCTTAAACCCTAGTCCTAAGTCCTAACTCCAACCCAACCTAAAACCCTCTTCCTCTCCCACCTTCCAGAACCCGCCGTCTTTCCCCACATTCTTCCGCCATTAAAGCTCTGCAAATAATCCAGTAAAGGTAACTTCTCTTCCTTCCTTTCTTCCTTCTATTTGTTGTAATCAATTCTTCATTAAAATCCCCAAAAAAAAAAAGGGCGATGATTATACTCTGTTTTTCAGCACCCTCTCTCTCCACTGCCATAACCACCATCTCCTCTTTCTCTCTCTCTCTTTCTCTCTCCTCTTCTTGTGTGTGTGTGTATGTTTTTATGTAAATTGTTTTGTGTAATTTGTTATTGATCTTCCGGGTTTCGAACTCGCGACCTTTTGTGGATAATTTAAATGGGGCTATGATTATAAAGAGAGAGGGTGGAGTAGGGTGCGCAAATTCTTTCAATCTAATTCATTTTATTCGGATTTTAAGGGGATTTTTAAGGATTTTGATTTTGCCAAAAATGCCGCTCCCTTTTTTTTAATTAATAAAGGTTGAGCTTTTCTGTAATTTTTATGGCGTTTTTGCAAATCTTTGATCTTTTTCTCTCTCCTTAAAATTTCGAATTTTAGATTGTTGGGTTTGTTAATCTTCCCTACTATGATTGATTTCTCCAAATACACTTGATATGAGCCCTTATCAATTTTTTTTTTTTTTCCTTTGATTTTATTTTTGTTGATTAATTTGATGCTATTAATCGTTCAATTCTTCATGATTCTTGATTTATTTTTTCGGAGTTGTTGAACAGGAGCAGAGTTCAGCATTTGGTGCAGTTGTTTGAGACTATAAGATGGAGCAAAGTTCAGCATGTAATTAGAAAAATAAAATTTTAAATAATTAATTGATTTTGTAAAGTGTATAAAATTGAATGAATTTTGAGGAGTATGAACAAGATTATTTCATTCTGGGTTCAAATTGGTTTATGATTAACGAATTTCATGCTATAGTATAGAATTCTGATCAAAGATTTCGATGGAGTTGCAATGTTCAGGAAACATGTCACTAACTTGCAAGTTTAGGAATTTTGAAACTAAATTGTGGTGAGATACTAGGAGAATTGTAAATGGTTCTTGCAAATTGCAATCACGACTGAAATTTGTTTAATCAACTTTTAATCGACTACAATTGATTATGATTTGGTTGCTAGAGGCTACTGATCTAGCCTTCACCGTATTTGCCAGATCCTTCGTGTGTTGGTGAGTACCAAAGCTAAATGTTCGTGATTAAGAGTCATTTCATGCATTGACGAACGTATTTTGCTTCATAGTTCGCACATTGGCCAACTTGATTGTTGTATTCGAGTATCAATTCTATGGGATACATTTCATGGTCATATAATGCCGTTTTGAAACCATATTTGATCATTATTTGTTGTTATAAATCTTCGTAGTATGCTTGATTTAATGAATTCGGTGCAAGTTATAAACCGATAAATAGACCGTTTAAAGACAAATTGGATGGTTCCACCCACCCAATTGGACTCTCAAAGGATACTAGGGACCTGGTAAACATTTCGACAATTTTTATTTCCAGACAAAAAAACTCTAAAAATTCCAAAAATAAAGGTTATTATTCACGTATTTTGAGAAATTTTAGAGGTTTCGGAACCTGATATCGAAAAGCCTTGACATTCTAAGGAATACATCTCGGAGTCATATAACGTCGTTTGGAATCATATATAATCATTATTTGTTGTCATAAATGCTCGTTGTAGGCTTGAGTTGATAAAATCAGTGCAAATTGTAAACAGGTAAATTGGTCGTTTTAAAGGCAAATTGGATGGTTTCCCCACCCAATTGGACTGCTGGAGTGAATTAATGATCATGGTAAACATTTCGACAATTTTTATTTTCAAGCCGAAAAAAAGTTAAAAATTTCAAAATTTGAAGGCTAATGTCCATGTTTTTTTAGAAATTTTAGAGATTTCGGTGTCGCAAAGTCTTGAGATTTAAAGGAATACATCTGGGGACCATATAATGCCGTTTGAAACCATATTTGATCATTTATATGTTGTCATAGAAGTTTGTGGCAAGCTTGAGTTTATGAAATTAGTACAAGTTGTAAACCGGTTAATTGGTCGTTTAAAAGCATATTGAATGGTACTACCCACCCAATTGGACTCCCAGAGGATATTAGGGACCATGTTAAATATTCCGGCAATTTTTATTTTCGAACGAAAAAAAGTTTAAAAAATCCAAAATTGAATGTTATAATATCCACTCGTTTTGAGAAATTTTTGAGGTTTCGGAGCCCGGTGTTAAGAAGTCTTAAGATTTTAGGAGATACATCTCGGGGTCATATAATGCCTTTTGGAACCATATTTGATCATTATTTGTTGTCATAAATATTCGTGGTAGGCTTGATTTAATGAAATCGCAGCAAGTTAAAAACCAGTAAATAGGTCGTTTAAAGGCAAATTGCATGAATAAACCCACCCAATTGGACTCCCGGAGGACATTAGGGATCACGGTAAAATTTTCGGCAATTTTTATTTTCAAGCAAAAAAAGTCAAAATTTTCCAAAATTTAAGGCTAATATCCATGTTTTTTGAGAAATTTCCGAGGTTTCGGAACCCGATGTCGGAAAGACTTGAGATTTTAGGGAATACATCTGGGGGTCATATAATGTCGTTTAGAAACATGTATGATCATTATTTGTTGACATAAATGTCCGTGGTAGGCTTGAGTTAATGAAATCGGTGCAAGTTGTAAACCGCTAAATTGGCCGTTTAAAGGCAAATTGGATGCTTACACCCACCCAATTAGACTACTGAAGGGTATTAGAGACCATGATAAATATTTTTACAAATTTTATTTCAGAGCGAAAAAAAGTCAAAAAAATCCAAAATTAAAGGCTAATATCCACACTTTTTGAGAAATTTTAGAGGTTTCGGGACTCGGTGTCGAAAAGTATTGAAATTCTAGGGGATATATATCTGGGTCATATAATGTCGTTTTGAACCAAATATAATCATTATTTGTTGTCATAAATGTTCATGGTAGGCTTGAGTTAATTAAATCGGTGCAAGTTGTAAACAGTTAAATTGGTCGTTTAAAGGAATATTGGATGGTTCCACCCACCCAATTGGACTACCAAAGGGTATTAGGGACAATGGTATACATTTCAGCAATTTTTATTTTCGAGCGAAAAAAAGTCAATAAATTCCATAATTAAAGGCTAATATCCACACTTTTTGAGAAATTTTAGAGGTTTCGGGGCTCGGTGTCGAAAAGTCTTGAAATTCTAGGTGATGTATCTTGTGGTCATATAATGTCATTTGTAACCATATATGATCATTATTTGTTGTCATAAATGTTCATGGTAGACTTGAATTAATGAAATAGGTGCAAGTTGTAAGTCAGTATATGGTCGTTTAAAGGCAAATTGGATGGCTCACCCTCCCAATTGGACTCCCGGAGGATATTAGGGACCATGTTAAACATTTAGGCAATTTTTATTTTCGGGCAATAAAAGTCAAAAAATTTCATAATTAAAGGCTAATACTTACGTTTTTTGAGAAATTTCTAAGGTTTCGGAATCCGATGTCGAAAAGACTTGAGATTTTAGGGAGTACATCTCGAGGTCATTTAATGTCATTTATTTGGAAACATATATGATCATTATTTGTTGTATAAATGTTCGTGATAGGCTTGAGTTAATGAAATCGGTGCAAGTTGTAAACATTGGTCGTTTAAAGGCAAATTGGATGCTTCCACGCACCCAATATTACTGGAGGTTATTAGAGACTATGGTAAACATTTCGGCAAGTTTTATTTTAGGCCGAAAAAAAGTCAAAAAATTTAAAAACTGAAGGCTAATATCCACGCTTTTTGAGAAATTTAAGAGGTTTCAGGACTCGGTGTCGAAAATTCTTAAAATTATAGGGTATATATCTTGGGGTCATACAATGCCATTTGGATCCATATATGATCATCATTTGTTGTTATAAATGTTCATGGTAGGTTTGCGTTAATGAAATCGGTGCAACTTGTAAAGCGGTAAATTGTTCGTTTAAAGGCAAATTGGAAGAATTTGCCAACCCAATTGGATTCCCGAAGGGTCTTAGAGACCATGGTAAACATTTCGGCAATTTTATTTCCTGACGAAAAAAGTAAAAAAATTCCAAAATTAAAAGCTAATATCCACATTTTTTGAGAAATTATAGAGGTTTCAGGGCTCTGTATTAAAAGTACTGAAATTTTAGGTGATATATCTCAGGGTCATATAATGCCATTCTGAACCATATATAATCATTATTTATTGTTATAAATGTTCATGGTAGGCTTGGGTTAATAAAATCGGTGCAAGTTGTAAACCGGTAAATTGGTCGTGTAAAGGCAAATTAGATGGTTCCACCTACCCAATTAGCTCCCGAAGGATATTAGGGACCATGGTTAACGTTTCGGCAATTTTTATTTGCGGGCGAAATTTTTTTTTAAAATTCCAAAATTAAAGGCTAATATCCACACTTTTGAGAAATTTTAGAGGTTTCGAGGTTCGGTGTTGAAAAATCTTGAAATTCTAGGGGATGTATTTTTTGGTCATATAATGTCATTTGAAACCACATATGATTATTATTTGTTGTCATAAATGTTCATGGTAGGCTTGAATTGATGAAATAGGTGCAAGTTGTAAATCAGTAAATTGGCAATTTAAAGGCATATTGGATGCTTCCACCCACCTAATTGGACTACCGTAGGATATTAGAGAACATGGTAATCATTTCGGCGAATTTTATTTTTAGGCGAAAAAAGTCTAAAAATTCAAAATTTAAAGGCTAATATCCACGTTTTTTAAAAAAAATTTGAAGGTTTCGAGGCCTGGTGTCGAAAAGGCTAGAAATTGTAGGGGATATATCTCGAGGTCGATCATATAATGTCGTTTGGAACCATACATGTTCAATATTTGTTGTCATAAATGTTCGTGGTAGGCTTGAGTTAATGAAATCGATGCAAGTTAGTTGTAAACCGGTTAATTGGTCGTTTAAAGGCAAATTGGATGGTTCCACCCACCCAATTGGATTTCCAGAGGGTATTAAGTACCAAGGTAAACATTTCTGCAATTTTTATTTCTGGGCGTAAAAAAGTCAAAAATTCCCAAATTGAAGGCTAATATCCACGCTTTTTGAGAAATTTTAGAGGTTTTGAGGCTCGGTTTTGAAAAGTCTTGAAATTTTAGAGGATATATCTCGAGGTCATATAATGCCATTTGGAACCATTTATGATAATTATTTGTTGTCATAAATGTTCATGGTAGGCTTGAATTAATTAAATCGGTGCAAGTTGTAAACCGGTAAATTGGTCGTTTAAAGGCAAATTGGATTATTCCATCCAACCAATTGGACTACCGGAGGGTATTAGAAACCATGGTATACATTTCGATAATTTTTATTTTGGGCGAAAAAAAGTCAAAAAATTTCAAAATTAAAGGCACAATTTTAAGAAATTTTAGAAGTTTCAAGGCTCGGAGTCGAAAAGTCTTAAAATTCTAAGGGATATATCTCGTGGTCATATAATGCCGTTTGGAACCATATATGATCATAATTTGTTGTCATAAATGTTCATGATAGGCTAGAGTTAATGAAATCACTGCAAGTTGTAAACCGGTAAATTAGTTGTTTACAGGCTAATTGGATGATCCACAAACGCAATTGGACTCCCGGAGGATGTTAGGGACCATGGTAAAAATTTTGGTGGTTTTTATTTTCGGGCGAAAAAAATTTCAAAAATTAAATCCTAATATCCACACTTTTTGAGAAATATAGATGTTTCGTGGTCGGTGTTGAAAAGTCTCGTAATTCTAGGGGATATATATCGTGGTCATATAATGCCGTTTGGAACCATATATGATCATTATTTGTTGTCATAAATATTCATGGTATGGTTGAATGAATGAAATCGATGCAAATTGCACATAAGTAAATTGACCGTTTAAAGGCAAATAGGATGCTTCCACCCACCCAATTGGACTACTTAAGGGTATTAGAGACCATAGTATTCATTTCGGTAATTTTTACTTTCAAGCGAAAACAGTAAAAAAATTCCAAAATTGAAGACTAATTATCCACGTTTTTGAGAAATTTCTGACGTTTTAGTACCCGGTGTCGGAAAGATTTGAGATTTAAGGGAATACATCTCGGTATCATATAATGTCGTTTGGAAACATATATGATTATTATTTGTTGTCATAAATGTTCGTGGTAGGCTTGAGTTAGTGAAATCGGTGTAAGTTGTAAACTGGTAAATTGGCCGTTTAAAGGCAAAATGGATGCTTACACCCACCCAATTGTACTAACAGAGGGTATTAGAGACCATGGTAAACATTTTTGATAATTTTTATTTTCAGGCGATAAAAATAAAAAAAAAAATCAATAATTGAAGGCTAATATCCACGCGTTTTGAGAATTTTTTAGGTTTCGGGGCTCGATGTCGAAAAGTCTTGAAAATCTTGGGATATATCTCGGGGCCATACAATGTCGTTTGGAACCATATATGATCATTATTTGTTGTCATTAATGTTCATGGTAGGCTTGAGTTAATGAAATCGGTGCAAGTTGCAAACCGGTAAATTGTTCGCTTAAAGGCAAATTGGATGGCTCACCCACCCAATTGGACTCCCGGAGGGTATCAGGGACCCTGGTATACATTTTGGAAATTTTTAGTTCCGGTAAAAAAAAGTAAAAAAATTCCAAAATTGAAGGTTAATATACACGCTTTTTGAGAATTTTTGGAGGTTTCGGGGCCCGATGTCGAAAAAGCTTCTCATTATAAAGGATACATCTAGGGCTGAGCAAAACTACCCGAAAAACCGAAAATCCGTTCCGTTACCGTTCCGAAAATTAGGGTACCCGATCCGATAACCATAACGGTTCGGGTACCCGTTCCGATAATTTGTTATCGGGTATGATTTTGGGTATCATTTTAAAATTAACGGGTACCCGTTCCGTTCCGATAAGCAATTATTTTGTTTTTTTCCTACTTAAATTTATCTTTTCAATATTTAAACTCTTACATTACTTCATAATCACTATAAATATCAATAATTAGTAATGTTATTAATAATTTGGTCAAGATCGTGTGGTATTGTTGTTAATTAGAGTTAAAAAAAATATCATAATAACTAATTTTTTTAAGTTTAATTATCACTATTGGATACTTTATAGGGTACCCGATAACCGTTCCGAAAATTCGGGTACCCGAATTCCGGGTACCCGAACTTATCGGTTCGGGTTATGGATATCACTTTTAGTGATATTGGTTATCGGGTACCCGAACCGTTAGTACTAACGGTACGGGTACCCGTCCCATGCTCACCCCTAGATACATCTCAAGGACATAAAACGCCGTTTGGAACCATATATGATTATTATATGTTGTCATAAATGTTTGTTGTAGACTTGAGTTAATGAAATCGGCGTAAGTTGTAAACCCGTAAATTGGTCGTTTAAAGACAAATTTGATGCTTCCACACACCCAATTAGACTAATGGAGGGTATTAGAGACCATGGTAATTAAACATTCCGACAAGTTTTTTTTAGGGCGAAAAAAGTCAAAAATTCAAAAATTGAAGGCTAATATCCACGCTTTTTGAGAAATGTTAAAGGTTTCGAGACTCGGTGTCGAAAAGTCTTGAAATTGTAGGGTATATATCTCGGGGTCATACAATGTTGTTTGAAACCATATATGATCATTATTTGTTGTCATAAACGTTCATGGTAGGCTTGAGTTAATGAAATCAGTGCAAGTTGTAAACCGGTAAATTGTTCGTTTAAAGGCAAATTGGATGTCTCACCCACCCAATTGGACTCCCAGAGGGTATTAGGGATCATGGTAAATATTTCGGCAATTTTTTTTTCCGGGAAAAAAAAAAGTAAAAAATTCCAAAATTGAAGGCTAATACACGCTTTTTGAGAAATTTTGGAGGTTTCGGGGCCCGATGCCGAAAAACCTTTAAATTAAAGGGGATACATCTTGGGGTCATATAACGCCGTTTGGAACCATATATGATTATTATATGTTGTCATAAATGTTTGTGGTAGACTTGAGTTAGTGAAATCGGCACAAGTTGTAAACCGGTAAATTGGTCGTTTAAAGGCAAATTGGATGGTTCCACCCACCCAATTGGATTCTCGGAAAGTATTAGAGACCATGGTAAACATTTCAGCAATTTATATTTTCGAGCGAAAAAAAGTTAAAAAATACATCAATTGAAGGCTATAACCACGCTTTTTGAGAATTTTTGGAGTTTTTGGGGCTCGGAGTCGAAAAGTCTTGAAATTATAGGTAATATATCTCGGGGTCATATGTTGTTTTTTGGAACCATATATGATCATTATTTGTTGTCATAAATGTTTGTGGTAGGCTTGAATTAATGAAATCGGTGCAAGTTGTAAACCAGTAAATGTGTCGTTTAAAAGAAAATTGGATGGTTCCACTCACCTAATTGGACTCCCGGAGTTTATTATGAACCATGGTAAACATTTCAGCAATTTTTATATCCGGGCGAAAAAAAGTCAAAAAATTCCAAAATTGAAGGCTAATATACACGCTTTTTGAGAAATTTCGTATATTTTTGGGTCCGGTGTCGTAAAGCATTGAGATTTTATTGGATACATCTCAGGGTCATATAATGCCATTTGGAATCATATATGATCATTATATGTTGTCATAAATGTTCGTGGTAGGATTGAGTTAGTGAAATCGATGCAAGTTGTAAATCGGTAAATTGGTCGTTTAAAGACAAATTGGATGGTTCACCCTAGCCAATTGGACTCCCGGAGGGTATTAGGGACCATGGTAAACATTTCAGAAATTTTTTATTTCCGGGTGAAAAAAAGTCAAAAAATTACAAAATTGAAGGCTAATATCCATGGTTTTTGAGAAAATTTAGAGGTTTCGGGTAAAGTTGTCAATTTGGGTAAACGGGTCGGGTTTGGATCGGTAAGAGTTTTTTGGGTCAATTTGGATTAATTCCATAACCTTTGCTGGTCAGGTTTGGGTTTGGTCATACTTGAGTTAGGTCATTCTTCTTATCGGGTTTGGGTCGGGTTTAGGACGGTTTAATAACAAGTCGGGTTACATTCGGGTCCGGTGAACAATAGGCCGTGCTTAATTCGCATTTTGAGTGGTTAAAAAATGTTAGGGTAAATCTTTGGTTCGATTCGAGTTCGGTTCAAGTCAACAATTTACAGGTTAGAATCAGGTTGGGTCATTCTCGAGTTTGAGTCGGGTTCAGTTCAAGTCAATAATTTGTAGGTTATAATCAGGTTGGGTCATTTAAGTCGGCTCAATTTCAGGTTCAAGTCAATAATTTGCGGGTTATAATCAGGTTAGGGCATTTCCAAGTCGGGTTATTCTTGGATTCAAGTCGGGTTATGTTCAAGTCAATAATTTGCAGGTTACAATCAGGTCGGGTCATTTCCAAATCAGGTCATATTCAAGTTCACCTAACTATAAATAGATAATTATCATTTTTATCAAGCTAATTATTTCCTTTGACTATAATATACGAAGTATATGACAATATAATAGGGAAATATAGTATATAATTTAGGAAGATAATTAACTCCTTTGACCATACAACAAATATATACTACATTTAACTTTTATATTTGAGGATGATGCTCCTTTTTTTTGTTGGCCTGGACCGACTTGGTCTCCCTAGACAATGCTTTGATCAACAATAATAAGGTGGTCTAAATTGCATTTAAGGTGATTTGAAATCGGGTCAGTAACAATTTGGGTTGAATTTAGGTCGGGTCAATAACAAGTTGTGTTGATTTCGAGTCGGGTTAGTAATAGATCGAGTTGAATTTTTGGGTTGGGTTAGTAATAAATCTGATAAAATTCGGGTCGGGTCAATAACAAGTCTGGTTGAATTTGGGTCAGGTCAATAACAAGTCTGGTTGATTTTGGGTCGGGTTTGTAACATATTGGGTAAAATTCGGGTCGGTTTAGGAACGAGTCGGGTTGAAATCAGGTCAGGTTAGTAATAAGTCGGGTTAAATTCGGGTTTTGACGGGTTAAAACGGGTTTGCGTCAATTTTGGTTCATATCAGATTCGGTTCAGGTCAATAATTTACGGGTTACATTCGGGTCGGGTCATCTTTAGGTCAGTTCATGTTCGTGTTCAGGTCTCACATACTAGGGTCTCAGGTTGGTTTCAGGTCGGGTCAGGTCGGATTTGGGTCACCCTTTTTTCGGGTTCAGATGGGTCGGTTAATAATAGGATTTGGGTCGGTATTTCGGGTCGGGTCAACTTCTGTTAGCTCTAATTACAATGATCCACTTAATAGTTGGTATCTTTCCATTTTCCTAGTCTTTGAACCACTATATACTGTATGTTTTTTGAATCAAAACGCAAATCAAGCATATAATTAAGGTAGCTAATGACTCCAATAAGCTAAGATTAAATACTTGTATTCATATATTAGTCAACTATAACACAAACTAGTATAAGCAAAGTCGCGGGCTTCATCACCATTTCTTTTAGCCGCTTCGACTTTTTACAATTTTCCCAAACTCATTCTTTTCCAATCACACCTACAAAGTCAAAAAGACACTTGACTATCAAAAGACAAAAACACCCCCAAGTTTTCCTCCCATTTCCCTCAAATTAAGGGAAGAAAAATAAAAGAAAATTGACAACTAATAGGGGTACAATTGGTATTTCAAATACTATTAAGACTTTATTAGACCCTAAAGTTTTTGCCAATGAATGTTTGACCAAATTGCCAATTAGGAGGGGCAATGTTCCAAGAGGTTGAACTTCTACGGTCACTAGCCGTAACACGGAATGAAAGTGCTTGACCAACAAGTACGGAGTTGGATTGCCAATTCTGACCCCAGTTACGGCTCATACTCATCCATCCAGTCTTTGATCCTTTGACACTCGCCCTTACCAAATCACCGGCACCCGCGACATTGGTGATTAGCACCAAGTTGAAGTATCGGAAACCGTTGATGGTGAATCGAATACCACCCTTCTTTCGGCATGGAACCCTATATTTAATCATATTTATCCATCAAACCACGTTTTAAAAAAAAATATATATATATAATACTTGTGTGGCATATTAGGTCACGTCCTCATGAGGTTAGTGTGTGATACATGTTGTGTTGAGTAATGTTTGAAAATCTTACTCTTTACAAACTCTACTTTTATGTACTTGATGAACTATCTATTCTAATTGATGGCTTGATGCATGTTAAAAATAAAAAAAGAATAATAATAATTCTTTTCATTTTAGTACTTTAGTTTCCATTAAAATAAAGATGCCAGTAAAAAGTTGATCAATTTACTCAATTAATCATAGTACTCCTATTATGCATAAATACATATGTATAGAATCCTTCTTTTATTAGGAACATGGAATATTTACTCCAAATTATCCTTATCAATTGGGCAAAAGTCAAGCAAAGGTTTTGATCTTACTTCCACCTTAGAGTCAAGAATATATCTTTTTGAAAGAAGATTAATGAGTGATAAGATGTGATTTATTAAACGAAAACTCTTTTACAAAAATGGCTTTTCCTTTGTTGAATACCTAAGATAACCATTTGTAACAATTTTTTTTTAAAAAAAATCCAAATAAATTTTTGTAAACTCTGTAACATAAATATATTCCAATGTTTTTTGTAAACTATGTAACAATGTAACATCATAATTCAATAAATTTTTGGACAATTAAATGAAAATGACAAATAAAAAAGGTAGGATGCTAGTTGGTCTAGTACTATACAAAGTACTCTTAAAAATTGAATAAGATTCAAGGGGCAGCCTTTTCATCCATGCAAAAGAGATGCAACAAATATAATCAGACTTCTATTTTTTTTCTTTCTCTAAAGCCAAAATTCATAACAACTTCAAAAAAGAAAAGCCTGAACTCAACAATTAGAGATGCTTTTTTCCATAAAAAGGAAAGGCTTTAAAATTTACAAATTTTAGACAATTGCATTAGTATTGTAAGCTGATACAGCTTATTCTCTCTTAAAATTACACACTAAGACAATAACAAACATTTAGAATTGAGACTCTTGGGGTGTAAAATAAATCTCTTAAAAAGTTTAAAATTGAAATAATATAAAATGTTAAAACATTGATAACACGATACATAATTTTTATTTTTAATTTTGATTGGAATGACACAATATATAGTATTGTCGTATAACTGTATAAGTTTTACCTTTTAGAATTTCCATTTTAATAGTTAAAGGATTGCAAGTATCATAACCGTCTTAGTTTTTATTGGACGAATGCGGACTAATTATACTAAAAACTTGTCATTTACTTACAACAATATTACTAGACCAGTAGACCGTAACATAAGGGTTATTTATAACTTACGCAACTTTCTCAACTGTCACATATTAATTGGTAAATCATCACAGTAGACAAAACGACACTGTATTTCTCTTTCACAAAAAATAAAACAAAGCACCAAAACAGAGTAAATAATACCACACAAAACAGAGCAAAAACAGAGGAAAGAAGAAAAAAAAAAATTACCTGCGGAAGGCAACAGGTACAATGCCGGCACGATATTCAGCAATCTTAAGAAACATTGGCATAGCGAGGTCGAAATGTGGGCGAGGTGGGTTACACCAACCGCCATTATCACTAGGCAACGCGTAATTTGGCGGGCAAAAATTGGTGGCGGTGATGAGGATGGAAGGGCTTCCTGGGTGGCACCAGCGCGGGTCATCAGCACACTTGAGCTCGAAGCACGCCCCGCAACTCTGGCCACTGTTGAACAGGGCGGTACTGAGTGCAGCCGTATTCACCCCGTACCCTTGACTATACAAGTTTCCGTAACCACAAGCACCCCCTACAAACCCCAAAAAAAAAACAATAAAATAAATCATTCAACAATTATACTTCGTAGTTCTTTTAAAAATAATACTAGTGGTTCCGTATGTTCTTTTGGTTTGGGATGTCCCGGTGTTCCCAAACCAAACAGGTTAAAAGAACATACGGACCACTAGAGCCCGGGACATAACACTAATTAATGTACATACCCATAGTTCCGGAAGCGTCAGAGCCACCGTAAAAGGTAGCATGAGCGCTTTGCCAGCTGCCCCCGGTAAAAACACCAGGGATCCTAGCATGGACTAGAGCAAAATATGAACATAGAGAGAAAACCAAAGGTAGGATAATAGAGGCCATTAGGAAGAAATAAAGGGGAAGTAGTGGGAAAGTAGTTTGTGTTGTGTAGAGAGTATGAGGTGGTGTGAGCAAAGGAGTGGCAAGACTACTTATAAAGAGGGAAAAAGGAGTTTATTTTCTTCCGTAATTAATGCTTGGTTGGTCACTCTATTTTGTGTAATGTGTAATTTTATTAATACTTGTAGATTTTTCTTTGCTTTTTTGGATTTTTTTTGACTTTTTTTTAAGGGATAAAAAAGGGCGTAAATTATGGGTGGTTTAATCAATCACACAGCTCCCTCGTACTGAGTTGTGACTGTCTGTTTGCCAATAGAGTATACCCTATATTTTTTATATTGCATTTATTATACATTTAAAATTGATTATAGTTGCTATTTTTTTACTACTTTACTTTTATTAATTGTTTTGGGCTGAAGTTAGGGTTTTGCTTTTTACGGTGAAGTACTATTCCGTATAGTTTAGAGGTGTGTGTCACTTGAATCATTAAATGACATTTCCACTCATTTGTTAAAAAAAAAATATACCTAGCTTGTAGAGTGTTTTTTTCTAACCAAAACTCTTTGTGTTAGTGATAAAAATTACTCCATAAATAAATTATTGCTCCATGTCTTCTAGACAATTCTTCATTTCGACCATGAATTATAGGTTCTCTTACTTGAAATTTTAACCAAGGTAATTCGGGCTGAATTTCTTGATGTGGTCTAATTTATTATGAATCTATTAGATTTAATCTAACTTTAAAATATTGTTTAATTCTTTTTAATGAAAAAGTTTATACTCATAGTAAAATAGATAAAGGATTAGGGTTTGAATATCAACTTTCACATTTAAATATTTTAATTTGGTCATCTATCATGGTAAGAATTTAATTAAATATGGTATTTTTTTCACAATAGCTTAGTAATTACTTCGGATTTAAGAAGAAAAAAAAACACATTTTAAATCATGAAAAACATAGGACCATAGCCCATAGGAATACATGGTGAAAGGTACTCAGTTTAAAATCGCTCGAGTTAAGATTGGAGTTAACCATCAATACTTACTCAAGTTATATTGAAATTTATTGTTAAGCCATAGTAGTAGTGGCATAGTGATTTTATGCTATAGTGGTATGGTGCAATTCTTACGCAATGAAGAATCTATAAAAATTACTATGCAAGATCTTCAACGTTCCATCTTTAGTTTAATGGCAATTTATCTTTTAGGATGATTCTATTGGCCTTTAATGAAAAACAAAGGTTAGATATGAAATAGAAAGAGATGTATGAAGAGAATTGGTTAGGAAGTTTAGTACCAAAAAATGAAAGGGCGTTACAAAAAAAAAAAAAAAAAAAAAAAAAAGGTAATGTGAATAAGGCTTTGCTTCAGTTACAAGTTGTGCCATGAATGGCAATCGTTACTTGACTTTTCACTTTCTTAACTAGCTATTTGCCCTCTTCTTTGAATCTTCTTTCAGTAAAAGTTGCAATCCAGGTTTAATTGCAACTGTAAATCCTTCCTTTTTTTTTTAATCTTTTTCTTAGTTGCCTTGAGGAATCTTTATCATCTTTGAAAGAAACCTAGTGGTCAAACTCTAGAATGGACATGCACAAAAATGGTGCTCCCTAATCACACAATTTTATCATTTTTTGAAAATTTAATTTCATACACTATTAAAATTATGGTCTTCAATGCACTTTGTCCACTCGTGTTATTGCACAAAAACAAATTAAATACATATGCTAATTATATACTACCTCCGTTACATATTATTTGCAACGATTAGACATTTTCCCTCTCTACTTTATATCAAATCGTTGCAAATAATATGTAACGGAGGTAGTATATCACTATATGCCTATGAATATGACATGTAGTATAGGAAAATGATGAATTACATTTTCATACATATTATTAAAGGAGTATAAAATAAATAAGTTGATATATTCGAAAATGCGTGTCATTGTCTGAACAAATGATTTATGTTACTTGGCCCTCTCTCTCTTTATATACGGAGCTAGTACAAGGGAATGAAATTATTATGTTGATGAAACATCTTTAACTTATCTCTATATATCCAAGTTAGAATTTATAAAAAGAGAGATGTCATGGAGGGATTGGACAAGGATCTTACCAATTTACCATCAATGAATGGTATTGTATAAAATTAGATTAAGAGTATATTGTGATTTGAGCTACTTAATTAGGATTTAGGGCAGAATCATCAATTGGTGACACGTTAACTCCTAGGTTGTCATAAAAGACAAATCTCTGATCCTTTTCACAACATTCATCAAAAGAGTGAATATGTACTTCATTTCGTCCATATAAAGCTAAGTTTTGAAATTGCACTTACACTGTTACATACACATCACAAAACTAGTTAAAAATACATAGATACAATCATACAATTACAAGGGAATTTAACCCTAATATTCAATAAACCTAAACGATTCAACACACAAAACATCACGCAAGTATACCCCCCTCCCCATTATCGAGGGGATATTTTGTAATTTTTATGTTTCAACTTTCAAGTACTTATGACCTAAGTTGGCTAACTAATCAAATAATTTTTAATTTTGGTAAAACAAGACCTAATGACTTGTTTGGAAGACAAACAATTCACATCAATCAACAGACCTTATTGGAATTTTAATACATTGAAATTTTCTTTTAGTACGAAATAGATATAACAATTTGATGTCACCAAATACAAAATATCTGACGTTATTACCTATCTAAAAAATCAAAACAAGAAAACTCGATACGATGCAAGCTCAAAGAATCTTATCTCTAGTCATGGAATATATGGTCAAAATTATGTTGATCTCTTCAAAATCTTCATGCAACCTCAAGGTGATATTTGCATGGAGCCATGGAGGTACCTTCAAAGTGCAAGGTTGTCACTATTAGGAATGTGGAGATAAGGATAAGCAAATTAGGCTCCAAATGCTTTCTTTAGGATAAAAAAAAAAATTAAATAAAGGAAAAAAATCTTATGGATTCTTTTTGGTGAGTGAAAAATGAGGTATTGATTTTATGCCACTTCAATTGAATATTACCCGCCAAAAATGAGCAAAGAATAATTTTTTTATTTTTATTTTTTAAAAAAAATAAAGGAACGGTTATAAACTTGTAATGGTAAAACAAATGCCTGTGATTCTAGATAATAGTCGGCTGGGCTTGAGATGGCCCAATATGATATTCTGGCCCACCTTATTTCTCCGTAATCAACGCTCCACGTATTACGCCGTGCATCTACCGTACGTTTCCTACCTCGCTCTTCTCACGTTTAGACATGTCAAAGTTGGTAAAAGGTTAGTTTGGGTCTTTGTGATTGTTTCAACTTGTTTTCCGATTGGTTTTTTAGGTGAATTATAATAATTTATTTATAGTCAATTCAATTATTTATCATATAATACTAGTATAAATTTTTATTTGTGTGATTCCAATAAGATATATACTTAAAACAAGAAATTGATTAACTTTTCTTGAATAGCAAGAGAACCAACAAATAATGAATATGGAGTTATTATAATAGGTTTAATTTGCCAATGAAACAACAAGATTTGGCTATACCTATTATAGCTTAGCTCCACTTTAATTTAAACATGACTCATAAACTCACTTAAGTAATCTTGTAATTTTCTTTACGTTTGACTTCAATACAAGAATAATTAGACCCTTTTTTAAGACATATTTTCAACTCATTTAAGTTTAGTTCAACTCAATTCATTATTCTACTTTGATATAGTTCGACTCAGTCCCCTTTAGCTTAATTTAGTTCGAAGACATAACGAGGCCTAATACTTGAAATATAGTCATACATTATCGTATATCTTTATTCAATGGGACCATTAATTCTAATAAGAGACCGAGAAAGTTATAGTTTAGCTGTATAATTTGTCCCCATATCCCTAATACTTCATATATATGTATGCCTAATATTACATACATTTCATTGTAGTTAAAGCAAATTGAAAAAGAAAGTTCAACATGAAATATGCAAAATCTAACGTGTACTCCATGTATTATTCTAAGCATTGCATTCCTCTAAAAGCAACCAACAATAACGGACAACAACTTATCTAAGGTATATATCATTTGAAAAAGAAAAAAAATCAACAAATTCATGGTTCAATGTCTAATAAATATTTGATCTAATGTAAACATCATTAAGGGGACACACTTTAAACTTTAAAAGAAATTAATTCTGTCTAATTATATATGCTAGAAGACCTAATTAATGATTCTTTGAGGGAAAATTAAGGGTTAGTACATATTTAAAACTGTATCGTTCATTTTGTTTTCAGATCTGCTAATATAACAATATTTTCATAATTAAAGGACCTATTTACCCAAATTATCTCAAGAAACTACTTTATGTATGGGGGTGAGAGGAGGTGGCAATATGAATTAAATTGGGAGGGGATGAAAACAGTTGGAGATAATTTAGGTTGGTGTATGTATATATCTCAAAACTTCAAGTATAGTGAGTACGTGGGAAGTCCTATTAAAAAGACAAGTGTCCAATTTTATTAATCTTATCAACCAAATCTTGAAGAAATCATATTATTGGAAGACCAAAAATATTATACTCCAAATTTATACTAGTATTTCAACTACAAATTGCCAGCCTCTTTACTTGTTTCATCATCTAACACTTCCACCTTAGCTTCCGGGGATTCTGGGGCTCCCATGACTTAATTTATTATATTATTATTATATATATTTTTTTATATAAAAATTGTGGCATGTGAAGTTTCACCCAACATTTTTTTCTATAAAAATAATAAAGTATCAAAAGTCAACCGGTTGACCCTTTGTTCTTGGTTTTTATTGGGAACTTGGGAAGGAAGAGATTGAGAGCGGAAAGTAGGCAATTAAGTTTAGATTTAGGTTGATTTTTCTATTTATTTATATTTATTTTCTACCTACCAGAAATTAACAAAATAGTTTACAGTTGGCCTCAAAGAGAGTGGCAAATGAACAAGCTAAAATTAGGGTTCAAATAGGTTCAATTCAACAATTATTCTTGATCTTAACCTCAAAATGGTCCAATTATTCCCAAATTTCCATCCATGATGAAAAAAGTTTTTTTTATGGTAGAAATGACCTGTGGTTAAGTGTTACAATCTTTATATTAAAATGGGGAAAAAAAAACATATTTCACAATTTTAGTCTCATTGATTAGCTAACCCTATGGAGAAAAAAAAAATTGTACAATGTTCAAAAAAGTTCATATATTATATATACAATAATGCTCAGAGTATCATCCCTAAGGCGCAACCGCGCAATAGAAACCCCGAAAATCATTTTGAT